CTTTCTGGCCTTCCTTTGGTGGGATTTTAAAAAAACGCATTAATGACTTTTTCTTTTTCTTTAATTAGCTACCCTATCCCCTAACATCCTACTCCCTCCCCTTACTAGTTCCAAATTAAACACAAAAGGAAAGGAAAAAAAAATGGTTCAAATATTACACGGAGTCAGGAAGAGCCAAGTTCAAATCAGCCTTGGCTACTTACTAGCTGTGTGACCCCAGGTAAGTCACTCACCCCTGTTTGACTCAATTACCTAATCTGTAAAATGAACTGGAGAAGGAAATGGCAAACTACTCTGTATTTTTTTTTCAATGTCTCTTCTCCAGTTCATTAAAGAAGGAATCAAGATCATTGTGATGTCAAGGATAGGAGTTATACAGCAAGGAGGGCTGATGCTTAATAACTAGGAAGTTGAAGAAAAGGAAAGAAGGAGGAAGGCAGCAGTGATGCCAGCATGAAGCCAAGAAGGGCAGTCACCCCACACAGGGGCAACTGTCAGAGAGGGGCCATTAGGTCTACTGACTGCCAGGAAGGAGGGAGGCAGCAGCAGCCAGATCTGGCAGATGCAAAGTGTAGGTTCCAGGATCCAGCTGCAACAATGGAGGGAGAACGAGGAAAAGGTTCCTGGGCCAAGAAAAGTGTGGGGAGGGACTGAGTTGGAGGAGGCTGTTTGGGGGGAACACTAGGGGAATTCTTTGGGGGAATGCTGTTTGGGAGGAAATGGCGAATGGCCTCACTGGTCCCAGCAACCACAAACAGCGGCCCAATGTAGAGAGATTTGAAACGGGAGACATGACAACAGGACAGTTCTGGTCTCCCTGGGGGGAGTCTTGAAGACCCTGGCTCCGGTCAGGTCATTCCCTGGTCCAAGCCCAATGGGATGATTCCCTTGCCATGACCTCCTCACATCAGTGCTGGCTCACAGTCAAGGAATCCCCTGTTTGATTCTCAAATTGTCTATCTACGATAAAGTGCTAGGCCTGGAGTCAAGAAAACTCATCTTCCTGAGTCTAAACTGACCTCAGATATTTACTAGCTGTGTGACCCTGGGCAAGTCACATAACCCTGTTTACCTCAGTTCCCTCATCTGTAAAATAAGCTAGAGAAGGAATTGGCAAACCACTCCAGTATCTATGCCAAGAAAACCCCAAATGGGGTCATGAAGACTCAGACACAACTGAAATTACTCAACAGTAACTATATATTCTTTTAAAAAGGGGTCCTTAACGGGGCAGCTAGGTGGCACAGTGGATAGAGCACTGGCCCTGAAGTCAGGAGGACCTGAGTTCAAATCCGGCCTGAGACCAAACACTTGACACTTACTAGCTGTGTGACCCTGGGCAAGTCACTTGACCCCAATTGCCTAAAAAGAAAAAAAAAGAAAGAGGTCCTTAACCTTTTTAATATCATGGACACCCTTTGGTAATCTGATAAAACTCTACAGATTCCTTCTCAGAATCATATTTTTAAATGCATAAAATAAAAGGCACAGGATTACAAAGGAAATCAATTCTACTGAAATATAGTTATTAAAATATTAAAGTCCCTGCTTTAAAGTTGAATACAAATGCTTCCTCCTCCATGAAGCTTTCTCTGATGACTGAAACTGGGAATGACTTTCTACCCTAAGATCTAGTTAATAATTGCTTTGCATTTCTGTTATAGTTTTATTGGGAGTCATTTGTTGTTTATATTTGCATAATGTCCCTGTACTTTCCACAAGGAATAACACATAACTATGTGTTATCAAACATTTGTACTTGCCCCAACACAGTCTTTAATACACAGTCCTCATACGTGTCCTTAATACATATTTGTTTATGTAGTCTACTTCTCATTGCCAATCATATCAGTCCTACTCTATTTCTCCAACATATGGATTGAACTATACATTATTTTGTTTAAATTTATTCTTCCAGTAATATTGCTTACTAAATGTATATCTAAATAAATATATAGACTCTTACCAAAATTTCTCACATTGTAACTAAGGCAGGACATCTTTGAAGAGTGCCTACCACATGCCAGGCACTGTGCTAAGTGCTGAGAATACAAAAAGAGGTAAAAGAACAGTCCTTGCCCTCAAGGAGTTAAAAATCTCATGGGGGAGACAAAAAGCAAACGAACACGTACAAACAAGCTACATATAGGATAAATAAGAAATATTTAACACAGAGAAGGCACTAGAATTCAGAGGGTTAGAATAGGTTTCTTGTAGAAGATGGGGTTTTAATTGGGACTTGAAGGAAGCCAGGGAAGCCAGGAAGCAGAGATAAGGAGGGAGAGTATTCCAGGCCTGGGGGATGGCCAGAGAATCACCAGAGGTGAGAGATGGAGGGTCTTGTTTGTGCATTACCCGGAGGCCAGTGTCACTGGATTGAAGAGTACATGGTAGGGAGTAAGGTGTAAGACAACTAGCATATGTGTATATGGGAGTATATTATGAAGGGCTTTGAATGCCAAACAATTCATTAGAGTTATCCATTTTTGTTTTCAGTTACTTTCATTGAATTTATTTAGCAATTCTTCTCTCTTACTTTCCAGGAGAACCAAAGAATTGGCAGATTTCTTTGCCTTACCATTACTAATGTATCAGTCACCTCTCTGGTTTCCCTACATCCGGTTTCTCCTCACCTTTAGTGGTGCACTAAATAGAGCGCTGGGCCCGGAGTCAAGAAGACCTGATTTCAAAACCAGCTTCCTATACCAGATGTGCGACCCTGTCTGTCTCAGTTTCCTCAACTGTAAAATGAGGATAATAATAGCACCTACCTAACAGGGTTGTCGTGAGGCTCAAACAAGATATTTGTAAAGCGTTTAGTACAAGGCCTGGCATATTGTAGGCATCACATAAATGCCCGTTTCCATCTTCTTCCCCTCTCTACATGCTGCCTCTGGGATAATACTGTCATCCTTACTAAAGAGGGAAATCGAGGTCGGGTATAGGTTGGACTAGATGGTGCCTAAGTCCTTTGAAACTATTAGATTCCATGATATCCCAAAACCATAATTCTGATCCCTTCACCTTATCACTTCTGCTTCACTAGACTCCTTATAGACAATAACATCTACTCTCCTTAGCCTGCCATTCAAGATGCTCCTTATTGTGGTTCCAGACCACCTTTATAGACTCATCTCCACCGTATAGTTACGCCAAAGTAACCTGCAGGCCATCCCCCAAGCATTATACTTCATTTTTGTACACAGAGCCTGGCTCCATGTTTTTGCTTATTCTGTGTCCATCCTACTCCCATTTCTATCAGTTAAAAACTTGTCTACCCTTCAATGTCTAGCCCAAATGATACTCCTTCTAGAAGCATCTTCTGAAGCTTTAGGCCTTCCTACATCCCCACCAACCAAAAGTACTCTCCTCTCTCTCTGTTCTCATGGTACTTCACTTGTGTCTCTCCTACAGAACTTAAATATTCTGCATTCTGTTTTATTTTATTTTCTCAAGCACATGCCTTCCTCTCATACCTAACCATAGGTTCCTTAAGAGGAAGATTATGTCTTTTTCATTGTTGTACACCTCATAATGCTGTGCCTAGATCAAGTAATTGTTCACAAAGTGTTGAATCCAAATTCCCCTACAATTAGCCTTTTAAAAATCTGTAAGAAATCATTTTTTTTCAGGCTAAGTCCATAAATACTTAATTGAATGCCACATCCACCTTTTCTCTTGGCTGTATTTCTGATTTTCCAAGTCTCAGACCCTGAAGGCAGGAGCTAGTACTTCTGTGAGGATGCTAAGCCAGAAGCAGATGCGGTCCCTCAATCTGAGTCTACACAAAGTATCATTTTTCCCTTCAGGCAAACGTGGTGGTAACATTGCTACACATTTTATTTTAGGTCATTCCTAGTATCTCTGTATCTCTGGATGCCTTGGATTTTCCACCAATTCTGAATAGACCCTGAGGCAGCTGAATGACATCATTTTGACTAAGCTGACCTCTGGGTGACCATGTGCAGTATTATTTCCCAGACTCTGACAAAAGGCTCAAAAGGAAAACGCACAATGCATAGTGTTAGCAGATTCGCTTGGTAGAGAGTTTTTTTGTTTGTTTTGTTTTGTTTTTTAAATATGCTACATCTTATTCTATTTAGTTTCAGGATGTGGACATGATAAATTATGCCAAATTCTGACATAAGAGATGCCTTTAGAAGCATTATTTTTCTTTTTTCTTCAAAAAAGAAAAACCTTGTAAATGGACATTTCAAAGCATACTGTCACTGTTTTCCTTAAAACAAATGCTATCTATAATAAATTATTCTAAAATGCCTCAGTTACTAAGGGTACTTAAAACATTTCTTTGGGTAATAGGAAAATATTTTATAGCATATTGGTTATTTAATGACAAGATTTAAACTAAGTGTGACCTAAGATCTTGTATCTTTTGTGGGACCATACAGTGATTTCCTTCTTTCTTTTTCTTTTTTCTTTTTTTAGGCAATTGGGGTTAAGTGACTTGCCCAGGATCACACAGCTGGTAAGTGTCAAGTGTTTGGTCTGAGGCCAGATTTAAACTCAGTTCCTCCTGACTTCAGGGCCAGTGCTCTATCCACTGTACCACCTAGCTGCCCCCAACCATGCAGTGAAAAGAAAGATCTGAAATATACGATTAGGGATGGAAGTGATAGAAGATGGTCTGAGGGCTGTCGATAGTCTGAGTATCTGCTTCCATTACCCTCTGCTCTTTTCCCTGTTGCTACAAAATATATTTTTCCATATGTCTGGCCAACATGTGGGAAAACGAGATCAACCATATTGTGCATGATATACTGTATTTCATCACTTAACCAGTAATGATACTGACAATAACCAAAACAATAATAAACAATAACGCATTATGACAGGCTGTGCTTCACAACTATAAAGTTCCTTTAAAGTAATCTAACTTTGTCCATAGCAAGAATTCATATTTCCCTTTGAATACTGGAAAGGAACCAGCCTAGAAGTCATTAAAATAACATCTGTTTCAGTTGACTATTTAATGTACTCACCATAACAGTGTTTTCTTCAATTATATATATTTGTGGGTCAAATGGGTCCACTTCTGCAGTTGCTACCAGCTGAATTGTCTGGAAAGATGACTGTAATATAAATACAAATTATAATAAATTACAATAATACCTTACATTTATTGTTTATACATTATAAGTACTTACAGATGCATGATCTAATTTGTTCTTCAAAACAATAATGTATTTTTATCCCCTTTCCATAGCTACGGCTACTAATATCAAGGTGAGGAGTCCTAATAAGAATCACACATCAGTTATTATCATCAAAAGAGCTTGGCAGAATTTAGTATCAACACTTTATTTTTCCTTTGGGAAATTATAGAAGCAAAAACTGATCACAAAATTTCCCAACACTTTTGGGATTCAAGATTGCTCAGAATACTGAAAAAAGTGAAAAAAGAAATTTTCATATGACAGAGAGTGGTTTTCCATCAAAGCCTCACTTTAATGCCTCATCACGATGCAAAGGTGACCCTGGGTTCTTGAGGTGATGTCCCAAGACGCACAAGCTCTAGCAGTCCCTACACTTACTGTCCAAGGACAACCCAGCTGAGTTTGCAGAGGTCAAGGAGAGGGAATCAGGAGACCCACCTTCTACTATCAGGTCTGCTACTTACTAGCTATATGACTTTGAACAATTCACTTGACTTTTCTGGGCCTTAGTTCTCCTTCTTTATAAATAAAGGGTGATCATTATGATTCCATTTGAGTTCTAATGTTCTGTTGATGCTGAGGATTATATACTGAGGAGTGAGTTTGCATTTTAGCCACATTAACTTGTGAAATAATCTTATGTGAAATAAGGCTATGCTCATGTTAGTGGAAGGATCTGAAACCTATGAGATCAGGGGTGTTTGAAGTTTTGAAAAAGAAAGCAAACAAAAATTAAAAAGAAAATAACATAAAATACCTAAAAATAAAATAACTTTCATTTGTTTTTCAATTGCTTATACAGTCTCTCAGAGTCTTGGAACTGGAAAAGAACTCAAAGGCAAAATAATATGAACCACACCTGAATAAGAATCTGTTCTACCTCTGACAGGTGGTGGTACAGCATCTCCTTACTTACTGTTAGTGAGAATTTACACCTTCTGACACTGCCCATCCTGCTTTGGGATTTCTCTCATTCTTGGGAAGTGTTCTCTTCCTAACTCTTCTTGTATTAGGATCTGTAGCTCACCTTGTTTATTAGCTGTACTCTGTCCATTTGTGTATAAAAAGGTGAGGTCCTGGGCTTTCTTGTTGGTTCCATTCTTGAATTTCATTTCCTGTGAATTTCTGAGCATCCCTACTGGTATTCTTCCACATTGTAGCTCTTCTTTTTGCTATCTGTTGCTAGAGTTTTATGGACAATTAGCTCACTTCTTCGTTTTCAGTTTAAAACTCTTTGATTTAAAAGTTTTCTCAGTTTAAAGCCCAGTAGAATATAAGCTTCTTGAGACTATTTTTATTTGGTTTTTGTATCTTCATTGCCTAGAATAGTTCCTCATATGTTGTAGGTGCTCAATAAATGGTTATTGAATGGTATTGGATTAGAATATAGTTGAAAGCCTCTAAGTAAACATAGCTGTATATGTTAGACATACTTAATCCCTGGTCAGGATCTCATCTTTCCTACTTTGGGGCTATGGTTCAGAAAGCTTTTTTCCCCCAAATCATTAGCTTGTCACAAAACTGTTTATTGACCAAATCTGCCTCTCTTTTTTCTTAAGCCTTTCATTGTCAGCAGCAATGAAAACATCATTTATACCCTCAAAGTCTTTACACCTTTGCACAAGATTTCACAATCTTTTCTACATTACTCCTTCCTGTGTCAGTTATGACCAAGGTAATTGAAAGAAATTCAAGGCATCATGTTTGAAAATTTCATAGCAAGTTACCTGTGATGGCCTAGAACTAGGTACGTACCCAGGAGGACAACAGAGCTTTCTTGTTAATTTCAGGTTTAAAAACAAATCAAAGGGAAATCAGGCAGATCAATAATAAACACATAAGTCCTCAGTATTGTTATATCATTTCTAATAATCTCAGATTTCCAAAGCAGAACACTTAGGTCATGAAACTTTTGATTCTAACATGGTTTGAGGTGGTGGTGGTGGGGTATTCAAGGAAGTAGAGAAAGGGTACGATTTTATTTTTTATAATGCATTCTGGAAAGCTCCTCTTCTAAAATAAATTTTAGAAAGGAAGAGGGGAGACTTTTGAAGGGGGAAAAATCTTTGCAAATGAAACACCATTTGCATGTACTAGAACATTTTACTTTTTCCCTTTAGTACTTTATAGAACCCAGCCATGAAAGAGAATAAATTGCTCATTTTGGGGAGGAGCATTTGCTCTCTTTGGCAATTAGGACTCACTTTTTTTCTGGTTACTAGGGCACCATCTGATATACCAAATGAGGTAATCTGCTAAACAGTCTCTAGTAGCCAGAAACAGTGAATGTACTTCCAAAAAGTGAGCAATTTATTTCCTTCTCACTGGCTGCACCAAGCCTGTTCTCTAATTAATCTTGGTAACACTGAAATATAAGATTTCATCATGCATTAACCCTAAGAACTATATTCTTATTCTTGTGGTCATTTACTCAGTTAGTATGAGAAGCATTAAATGGTGATAGGGAAGAGTTCTAAAAACTTGTGATGATATCATTTGCAAAAGTAGGCAAAGTCAGTGCTGTCTTTGCAGGCTTTAAAAAAAAAGCATGTGAAGACTTCATTCATTTCTTTCTTCCTAACTTACATGAGAGACTAGCATCTCTATCTTTAGGTGTGGGCCTTTTGTCTAGAACAGAACATCAAAGCAGACAACACATAGTGCTTCATCCACAAGCCATGCCTCTGATGGTGAATAGGAACTGAACATTTACCAAAGAATTTCTTTCCAACTGGAAAGCAATGGTGTCACTGTGGAGTGCAATTTGCTTCATAATAACTGAACTGTTATGAAAAGCTATCTATACCATTAAATTCTATCAGAGAAAAGGTGATAAGAGAAGAGCAAAAGAGTCAACTACCTCTCATACTAGAAGTGGGATCTTTATTTGGTCCTGATTTACCAGGTGCTTTAAGACTGGCCACTTCCCTGACAAAGTGGCTACAAACACTGGTAGCATGGGAATATTCACTTTAAATTTTCAGGAAGGAGAGAAGTAACCCCTGTTGAATGGAATAATTAAATGGAAGGTATTTTGACAGCAAAAGGAAAACATTATTTAATAATGGAGGGCTAGTTTTCTAGGTCAGGCATTCTCAAACTTGTCTCTATGAACTCCCGAACTAAATATTAAATTTTTTTATAATTGTTTTTCTATATGTGTGTGTGTGTATGTGTGTGTGTGTGAGAAAGAACACTGTGCTAGGTACTCTGGGAGATACCAAGTCATATATATACACACATAAATATATATGTGTGTGTGTGTGTGTGTGTGTATCTGTACATATACAAATACATACATATGTGTATTTTGCATGTATGTACCTGTATCTATATATACACATGCATACATACACACATGTGCGTTTGTGTGTATATGTATCTGTATATATATATACACACATATACATATGTCGTGTATATATCTACATATACATATAGAAACATATATGTGGGGGGTGTGTGTGTGTGTGTGTGTGTGTGTGTGTGTAAGTAAGAACCTTGTGCTGTAGAGATAAGAAGAGTCAGATAACATTCCCTGCCCTTATTAAGCTTTTAGTCTAAACAGAAGTGTCAAACATAGACTCTTTAGGGCCTGCATGCAGCTCAAACCAGATTAAATGGTAATTGGAAAATATTTAACAAAATATAAAAATACAATAGAACACAGGTAATGTTAATATGTGGTTTTCTAAGCCAAAATGCAGCCTGCAGGGATCCTGATGCATGGGTTAGTGGCCTCCATTTCTACTGGGTGTGATACCACTTGACTAGAAGATCAAGCAAATACTTAGTTCACATGTAATTGGAAAAAAAATAAAAGATTTAAAAAATTGTAATTAAATTAAAAAAAAAAAAGAAAATGAAAATGAAAACAGCCCCAGCAACAGGATACAGGCTTATTCACTGACTGATCAGCATAGTGTAGCTGCCTAGATCCAGGCTAACCAACTCTGTAAGTAGAGAGCATGAACAATGATCTATGATGATGTGATATGTGATACCTGCCTTCTAGGACACAGACACTGTTTTGGTTAAGGCATTGTGTAGAAAAGGTCAAGGGTAAATGCAAATGTTTTGGAAGAAAGTCTACATTAATTTTTATTAAATGATTATTGAATTATATTAATTCTTAAGTAATAGGTCCATTGACATCTATTCCCATAATTAGGTCTTGTTCAGTCATGTCCAACTCTCTATGAACATGGACCATACTGTCTGTCCATGAGGTTTTCTTGGCAAAGATACTGGTGTATCTTTCCTTCTCCAGTGGATAAAGGCAAACAGAAGTTAAGTGACTTGCCCAGGGTTACACAGCTATTAAGTGTCTGAAGCTGGATTTGAACTCAGATCCTAACTCCAGGACCAGTAGTCTATCTACTAAGCTAAATTTTGGCTTAGGATTTGTCCCACCCTGATAAATAGTCCCATTACCTCCTAGTTTAAAGGATTCAACTTGCATTATGTGTTGAGTTCACATGTTATTTTGGTTTTAAAATAATAAGATAGACGTTAAGGGGGAAAAACTATGAAAAATCTACAATCCACTGAGTTAGAATCAATGGAAGAAACGACTGAGGTTATCTAGTCCAACTTCTCAAGAAGCAGAATGGTGTAAACTTAAGATCTGGATTCAAATCCTGCCTCAGACATTTACTAACTGTGTGATCTTGGACAAGTCATTTAAACCTTTTTATGTCTTAGTTCCCTCATCTGTAAAATGGGAAGATTGTACTCAATGGCCTCTAGGATCCTGAAAGACTAGGAAAAGGTCTTCCCTGTATAACATCCTAAATACCCCCAGGTTTGTGGAATTCCCCGCCTCCTGAAACAGTACATTTGTTGTTCATTTGTTTAGTTGTGTCTGACTCTTCATGATCCCATGGACTATAGCACGCCATCCTTCATTATCTATTACATATTTGGATAGCACTAATCGTTAGGAAGTTTTTCTTCTAATGAGCTGAAATATGCCTCCCTGCAACTTCCATTGCTCCTAATTATGCCTTCCAGGCAAAACAGAATCCATCTTCCATATACCGGCCTTTCAAAAACTTGGAAAAAAATACATTGGTTCCCCCCGCCCCCCTCCTCATACTCCTCATACGTCTTCTTCAAACTAAATACTCTGTTTCTTTCAGGACATAGCATCATCTGAATGCTTTCACTATCTTTAATGCATACCCTTCCATGGGCCAGGATGTCAATAGCCTTTCTTAAAAGTGGTGGCATAACCAGGGTCAAGTATAGTGAGCCTGTCACTTCTCTGATTCCAGACATTAGGTGACATTTTACTGATATAACTTAAGATTACAACTAGAAATCTGAGAATTCCCTTCAATAATCACTGCAGTGTACATACGTGTAGCAACTTGTGACTTACAAAGCAGTTTTTCTCCCCATCACCCAGCAAACCAGGTAATTTGATGATTCTCTTGGCTACTGTGTGTCCTCGGACCTAACCTCTCTGGGCCTCAGTTAGACTTAGGGGGTTAGATTTCTCTAAGGTTCCTTCAAGTTCCAACCTCTCTCAGTTCCTTTGGGGCAATGTCTCTTCGCTAATTACTTTCTGGCTGCGGGCAAAGCACAAAATGAAATGGAAACTAGACATTTTGTTAATTTCATTAGTAGAGTCAGGCAAATCCAGTAATTCTGACCCAAAATGCATTTTCCATCACAGCTGTCTGGTTTGGCTGTTCACATAGATTAACATGGGTAAATAACTATTAAAATGTTTCCTTCCTATTTTGCTACGTTGAGGCTCCCTCGGCTTCTAAACCGCATCTAAACGTTTTTTTCTGAACTGGTGTCCTCTTCCTCTTCCCCTTTACAAAAATCTGCTACCTTTGAGCAGCCTTGCCTGCATCTTGCCCTTTGCCTCCTTTTCTTCTTCTACATGAACCCACGAGCCTAAAACCTTCCTTTCTTTTGTCCATGTTCTCACATCGCACCATAAGATTACTGATGCTCGGGTGATTTTCAGTGAAATCCAAGCTACCTTTTGTAAACAAACCACATGACCCAAGTCCAGTATTTCATATGCATTCTTCCATTTGTTCTCTGCATATTGATAACTCTATGTTTACTGGTAATTAGGCTCATAAAAGGAATAGGGACTAGACCAGGGGTGGGTAATGTGAGCCAGGGCCTCCTTGCAACTTATGCTCTTAGAAAGATGCCTAGAGCATTGGGTGGTTAAATGACTTGCCCAGGGTCACACAGACTATGTGTGTCAGTGGTGAGGCTTGAACCCATGTCTTCTTGGCTTGGGGTCTGATTCTCCGTTAACTATACCAAGCTACCTCTCCTAAGTTCAAAATAAAAAAGAAATTTGAGGGAAAAAGAGTCTATATAGTCATGGATTAATTAAATGTAGACTAGTGTTTATTGGGATTTAACCCTTCCATTACACTGAAGTACTATGCAAAAGTTGGGCAGGGTATGCAGGGGCTCCCATATCCCTTTAGCCAACTTATTTTTCATTCTACAGAGATGGAAAATCAGTGCCATCTAGACCGAATTACTCACAGTACTATGGTCACTGTTTACATTAGCAGTAATGCTTTTCATGCCAAATTTGACACTGACTTTTTCTGTCTCCACATATTTGTATCTTGCTATATATGCCCAATAAACACTGCTACTACTCACCGCTGCAAAAGTCCCATTCCAGATCCTGGTAGACACATTTACAAAGTATTCTTCTTTCATTTCCAGTTCTCTTAGCTGGCAGGTGACTTTACTACACGAGGCAGTTTTGCAGTTCTTTGAGGTCAGAGGGGTTCATATTAAAGAAAATAGGTTTAGTATGACTTCTGAAAATAATTGCTGAAAAGTAAAATGGTTTGTTGAATATATCCTGATACTTATTAGTCTAAATTTATGTTTGAATATTTATGCATACAACTACATAAAATTCTAATTTGGAGTGGTCTGAATATAAGCCACCTACCTAATATAGTCCACACTTTTAAAAATATGGCATTATTGAAATGAAAATAAGTAGAGAGTCAGTGAAAAACACAGGCTGAATTCAGTCTTCACGCAAATTAAATTTCTAAGGAAAATGTGATCTGTATTCAGATAACCTTTTTTTAAAGTATGGTGTTTAGATTGGTACTTCTCAAAATTGTTTTCTATGATGCTTCATTCTTTCTCTCCTCATGATCTCTCAGTGTCACCTCCATTTTTCTTTTTTTAAATCTAGGAGGATTTTCAAGTGTTAATTAGGGAAAAGCTATGATAATACCTTCACTCTCAAGAAGGGCAATAGGAAGGAGCCATACAAAAGTGGGCGATAATGTGAAGACAACAAATGAGCATGCCTGAGAAATCACATACAATGGTAAAGAGGCTATCTGGTGATATGTGTTGGTGGAAGGAGGTATGTGTCATGCTGCCAAATAGCTAAATTTCCTCACTCACCAGTGAGTCACTAGTGAGACTGCAAGAAATCTGTACTCTTAGCTTATAAAACTGCTATTTTGGATGAGCCCATATAATTTTGGTATTTCCATTAACCAATGAGTTCTTCCTAGAATTTCTATTTTGGAGAAGATCTCAGACCAGCTATCTTTCATTCTCAGGACTTTGCCACCACGTTCCCACTCCTTTTATGAGTTATTTTACCCCACTAGAATGTAAGCCCCTTGAGGGCAGAGATTGTCTTTTTTTTTGCTTGTATTTGTATTCTCAGCGCTTATCACAGTGCCTGGTACATAGTAAGCACTTAATAAATGCGTGTTGATGCCTTCAATGTGCACAGGCATACAAGGGTAAGATGAGTTAGGTTCTAAATGACCTAAACTTGAGCATATCCCTCAGTAACAAAAAGTGCAAATCACCTTCTTAGTCTCATCAAATTTGTATTAACTGGCAATTTAAAGTAATGAATGAATTTAGCTATTCTCTCTCCAAATTCCAACTCATATCAGATTTAAGGGAAAATATATTGTATGATTATATGGTAATGTATGGCAATAAACGTTTGTTGACTAATTATGAATTAATAGAAAAGAACAATCCTCTAAAAAAAAGAAAACTAATGCATTTAGGATATTAAAGCAAAAGCAATTATAGTTCTTGAATAATCATCTTAATATGTGCTACTCACCAATTCTTTAATATCTCGGAAGTTTTCTTTCTTAAAAGACACTGAGTAAGGTGTTTCTCCTATTTTTAGTGGATTTATTTTTGCAGTGCAGCTGATATCACTGTCCTAGAAAGTGACAAAATCACAATTGGTCTTTCAAACTTACAAAGTAAAAGCAAAATAGTTTTCATTAAGACTTTGTATGAAATAGCAGTATATAAAGGGGAAAGGAGGTCTTTAGGGGGACAGGAGAAGGAAGAAAAGAAAGGGTGATTTGTTGGCTCTTGGTGAGAAGTACCCAGTGGAGTGCCTTTCAAATAGCATGTAGTTAAGAAACAGTTCTTGAATTGAACAGACAGGCTTGGATCCCACCATTATACTATCCTTGGTCTGCCCTTTGTTTACTCTTAACTCTCAGCACAGTGTGAAGGAAGATTGTACCAAGGGTAGAACTGGCTCTTTCACTCATGTGAGGTAAGAAATTTCAACAAACACTACCATAATTAACCAAATACCTTTTAGTCTAAATCCGAAGATTTGGGTTTTCCTATAGACTCATAAAATAATGTACCACACATGAACAAACTGTTTTAGTTTTGTTTATTTTTTTTAGAGGCAATTGGGGTTAAGTGACTTGTCCAAGGTCACATAGACTAATAGGTATTTGAGGCCAGATTTGAACTCAGGTCCTTCTGACACCAGGACCAGTGCTCTATTTATTATTCCACCTAGCTGCCACTTGAAAACCTTATTTTAGACATAGCTAAAGCACATAATTAAAGTTGGAAAGAACCTCAGAAGTTATCTGGTATAACTGCTTCATTTTAAAGATAAAGAAACTGAGGCACAGAGAAGTTGAGTGACTTGCTTGAAGTCACATTGGTAGCAAGCATTAGAGGTGAGATTTGACCCTGTCTTCAAACTTCAGAAGCAGTGCTGTTTTCATGGTATCCTACTGCCTCTCCAAACTGCTTGCTGTTAAATAGCCAGAATAATACTATTAATAATAATCAAAACTAGCATTTATGCAGTTTTACATCAGGTTTACAAAGAGCTTCACATATATTTTTCTCATTTGATGCTTACACTAACCCTATGAGATAGATGCTATCTATTTTACAAATGAAGAAAGTGAAGCTGAAAAGATTAAATGACTTATTCAAGGTCAAACCAGCTACTCAGTGTCTGAGGAAAGATTGGAACTTGTCTCCAACTCTGATCTATCCTCTATGCCAACAAGCCAGGCTGAGCCAAGTAGAAGGTCAAGAACTGGACAGAAGGCAGCATCTGCCATATAGTCTAGCTGAGGAGATCTGGAAACTCACTCTCCATATCTCTCTTATCACTCAATCTACTTTCCTTTTTACAAGGCTGACAGAGTCAAGCCCACTTGCAGCAAGGATGTAGGAGGTTTGGAAAGATTTCCGCACTCTTTACATTCCTGAATATTGGGTTTTGGTCTCATACTTCTGAGGGCTCTTTTAAACACAAAAATCATTTCCAGATAATTATCATGTGAGCTGCTTAGGTGGTGCCAGTCTCTTGCCTAGATCACATACACATGGCTCCAATATTGGAAGGCGGCATACTCTAGTATTTAGAGACTCTTGCTTTCCAAAAGTACACTAGAAGATACAAAGTTTTCATCTATTCACTAAGTTATCCTTACTTTCAAAGACCTGGAATAAGGTTATCTACTTGTGGTGAATACAAATTCTACCAAGAATAGTGAGAGAAAAGATTATTAAGTAAAAAAAAAATTATTGGGGAGATCCCTGACCTTTCCCAAAAATTTACCCCACCTAGATTATCCTTTCTAGATAGAGAGTTGTTGCCCCACCCAACTAGAAAAGCTTACAAAGAATTTAATCTAAGGTGAATTCCAGCCTGTTGGGTTCCACTCATGCATGTTTGGGCAGGGAGGTAGATCCTTTATCAAGACCGCCCAATGCTGAGGGTGATTTGGAAGTAAATGACACAATCAAAGTCTTGTACCCCACTCCCTCATTAAAATAGGTCTACCTGTCATAATATTCATTCTGTCTCATTACTTGTTAACCAGACTTGACTGCCACCCTTAGGAACACCCTGTCTTCCAAAGGCATATAAGCATTAAATAGGTTCCATAAGGAGTCTTTGGCAATCGAGGGTGTCGGTGACCCCCTTTTATTAATTATTGTTAGAATGATTAATTACCCAGAAACTACGTCTCTTGAACTTTATATACATCACAATAGAGAGGAAACTCAGCATGGTAGAAAGAGTGCTAGATCTGGAAACAGGAAAAAACCTGGATTTGAATCCTGCCTTTAACACTTAGCAATTGCTTAATCATAGTTAAGTCACAATCTCACCTAGCTTCAGTTTTCTTATTGTATTACTGGCTTGTTGGCAAGATCAAACAAGAACAAATGCAAAGTACTACATAAATGTTGGCTTTCATTGCTACTATCACCTCCTAAGGTGACAGCATTGCATTCTGACCTCAATTAATTTGTCAATAAACTCAACTATTACCACTGGACCATGTTACCTTTCTGTCCTAATACCTTCTATTTTCTAGTCCGTTATAAATACATATGCATGACATAAAATGATATAATAGCAATATAACCATGTAATACTGTTATATGATATAACATAAACCTAAAGTAACATAACATAAAATAACATATACCTTTTTGTAGTATACATATAAATATATTTATACATGGTGGATGCTTAATAACTACTTGTTACTTGACATAGAGTTCAGTACAAAATATCTATCTATGTGTATCTTTTTAGTATATATAGTACATAAAGAGAGGCAAGCATGGTATAGTAGACAGAGACTCAGCCTTAAAGTCAGGAGGATCTTGGCTCATAGTCTACCACTAGCACATACTGGTCATGTGACCCTGGTCAAGTCACTTAATCTCTCTGGGATCTAAGTAACTTTGTAAAACTACAAATTTCAAAGAAAATAATTCCCTTCATTGGTAGAGGGGATTTTCTCATCTGGAGTTTCCCTACACTAATGAAATCATAAGTCCATTCTCTATCCCAAAATGCATGTTATCTTTTTTTTTTAAATTTAGAAAGTTCTGCTTGAATTTTATATTCATATTGAACCAAGGATATCACAGGGTATACTTGGACTAGTCACCTGGGCTACATGTATTCCTGTCAAGTACATCAATGCATTATTTTCTTTGGTGTATTGAGGAATCGAGATGGTTACAGAAGCCATGGATACTGGAATGCTTCCTGTTGTGATCTACATTAAAAAAAAAAAGTTCTGTGATTGACCACACTTGATCTAATTAGCAAAACTCACAATGTGACAGTAAATTATGAGAACAATTCCACTAACCACACAGGAAAACTGGTCTTACTGCTTTAAAGTCCTCTCCTATCTGTGTATATATCCATGTCTACACATTACTTCTCTAATGGACATCACCAAAATACTTTAAAAACATTAATTATTAATTGATAGTAATGTTATGACACAGCAAAGCAAGTATATGAAAAATTCACAGATTTTTACAATATTTCAATTATAAACTAAAACTTAATAAATGAAATTAAATGAAAATGATGTCCCCAAAGTCTTAGTGAAGTTTTAAGCTTTAAATTGCTTTATGATAGTAATAATATGTAATAATAATAATAAAAGCTTTATAATAGCCTTAATATTATATGCATAAGATAGCTATCAGTTTAAAACTACACTAAGATTTTTAGGACACTCTGTATTTACATCTACTTATACTTAATACATAAATTTCAGAATAAAGATATAGGTAAAAAATTGCCAATTACTTCATTATCCACTCCAGTATCTACTCATCCCTGTATTTGTTTATATATATTTTTTCTTTTATATAGTTGGATTAAATGACAATTAACTGATCTTTACTTTGCATCATTTCATATAAATTTTCCTTATATTCTCTAGTCCTCATGTCTGTCATTCTCAACAATATTATAAAATTTCATAACACTGATTACCACCATGTGTTCAGCCCATCCTCAACTGTCAGATGATTTATTCTAATTTTTTAGATGACAAAAACTGGACCACAAGTCAAAGGGCAAACCCAGGGTCAAAAGCAGGTTCAAAAGTTTAATGTTCAAATTCTCCTTAATTATAAAATAATAAGAGGTTTGGTTTTTTGGAGGCAGAGGAATGGGATCTGATTGGTTTCTAGGATCTATACAATAACAGAGTTTTTGTTTGTTTGGTTTTTCTCATTACTTAACTGCGGACACTTGCTTGGCTACTAACAAAAAAGAAATCGCTATAAAACATGACTTTGAAGGAATCTCTATTTGTATATAACTGCTAAGTTTATACAAACAGAAGTGGTATCTAGGCATCACTGAAGCTGCTTTTCTTAAACAGACCCAGAGTCTAACACAACAAAAAAAGAACCCCCGGCAGAAACAGAATATACATATGTTTCCTTGAAAAACATTGAATTTAAACTCTAAAACCACAATGATTTCCTCTTAGTGGAAGCACGTATACCTTCACATACTTCTGTGTCCTTACTTTTGGCCCTGCTTATATTCTTTTTATTTTATTTACATTCTGCTCTTTTATCTGGATTCTCTATGCTTTATAAAATATTTATTTGTTTTTAATGTTGTTGTTCCTGTTGTTTGCTCCCCACCATTCTCTCTTTGCCTTCTCACACTCACAGCCACCTTACTCACCTTAACTGAAAAGCTGAACATGGGGCCAATCTCATGGAGAGTCTTCACCGTGGAGGAAACATTGCCATGAGAAAAGACTTCATAAAAATTGATGTTGGTAGACCTGTTGAATGATGATTTTAAAACGAGATATTTTTGTTTAATGGGTGCTATTAAATAAAACCTTACTTTTTTTCCTTTTCACCTAAATATTTCTAAGGTCAGATTAATACTAAAGAATAGATTTAAAAAGAAAAAGAATAGTGTCAATATCTAGGAGTTCAAGGAGCTTTATAAATAAACTAAAAAATAAGTTTCATTAGAGTCCACTGCCATCTTATTTACATGACTTACAATTCAGGACCAAAGAAACTTCTCTTGAAATGACTGCCTCTTCATCACATTTCTGCTAAAATTTTATTTAAAACACACCACTGTATGTTGAATGAGAGAAATGTGAATTTAAAATTATAGATTTTAAAGCCAAAAGTAACCTTAGAGATTACTTCCTTTATGAAAACTAAAGTGCCAAGAAATTAAATGACATATTCAAAGTCATATAGTTAATCGGTGTTCCATCAGGAACAAGAGGAAACTAGGGCCTGTGATTCCCAGGCCTGCATTCCTAGTATTCTGCCACATTACTTGCCTTTAACACCATGGTCTATTGTATTAATAATGAGAAGTTCTACTGGAGCAGTTAATCACTTTATCCTGATGGACACCCACTTTACAAAATTACTATGTCATTGTGGAATTCTGCACTAAAAAAATACTCAAATAATGTTCACTCAGTGAACATACAAGAACTCCATAGTATAGTGGAAAGAACCCCAGAGATATGGTGTCAGAGAACCTAAGTTCCAGTCCTGGTTTTGGGTCAATACACAAAGCAAGCTCTTCAAGCTCTCTGGACCTCAGTTTCCTTATCCGTAAAATAATGAAGTTTGATTAGATGGCATCTGCCATCCTCTCCAGTCCTAAATCTATGCTTTTATTACTCCAATGAATAGATAAATGATATTGCTGACTACAAAGTAAGTGGCTTAAAACATTTTCAAAGAATGTTAGAGCTGGAAAGAAGGTTAAAGATTCAATTGACAGGTGAGAAAATGGGCCTAGAGAAGGGAAATTACTTCTCAAATTACACACATAGCACCAAGGGTAGGACATAAACCTAGGATGCCCAAAACGCAATAAAGTATTGCTGGCATGAAAAAATCCCCAAAACTCAAGAAGTAATAGAGTTCTACTATATCACTACCTCTAATATTTATTACAGGGTGAATGTAGGCTGGAGCACACTTACTCCCCTTGTGCTAGAGCAGAAGTTCTTAAGCTGGATTTCATTAAAATTGTAAAAAATGCTTGATAACTGTATTTCAAAATTTCAATTTACTGGGCTTAACACTTTTCAATATTTTGATAATTGTATTTCAATATAATTGATTTCCTTTGTAATCCTAAAATATTTCATTTTATGTATTTATTAAGTATTAATTTATTATTAAATTGTTAATTAGCATGTATTAAGTATTTTATTTTATGAATTAAAAACACATGATTCTGAGAATGGATCCATAGGCTTTACTGACATCACCCAAGGGACCCAGGACACAAAAAATAGATTAAGAACCCCCTACAGAATAGACTAGTTTGGTTCCAGATCAAACTTTGAGAATTGGCATCTAGACTAGGGTTCAGCCCACACTGGGTCATAACTGGTCTGGAGGCTTCCTTTAAGAAAGAAAAGAAAAAGTTTCTTCTATGGTGAGCCTAAGATGGTCCTAGAATAGAAAACCAAGGCTTATCACTCTTCAAATCTTAATTATAAATGATTTTTAAAAAATGTTTATAATTTATAGAGTTAGGCAACCAGAAAGAAGAGCTTCCATCTTTTTAGAGCCCTAAAGGACTGGTCCAAATCAGGGGGATGGAAATATCTTAAGAAAAGTATACCCCTTAGCATGTTTTGATTTTACAATACCCATCTGTTCATTTCCTACAAGTGACTCACTACAAAAGAAAATATATTAGTGTGTGCATACACACACACACACACACACACACGCTTTCTCATATATATATATATATATATGTATGTATGTATGTATGTATGTATGTATGTATGTATCATGCTTTAAGATTTACAAAGTGCCTTTATCATGACATATCCATGAGGCAGGTAAAATTAGGAGGCAGTGTGTTACTGTGGAAAAAGCACTGGTTCTCACATCAAAGGACCTAGGTTCAATCTCATCTCTGATGCTGAAGGTCCGTGTGATCTTGGCAAGCCCTTTAATCTCCTTTGGCCTTAGTTGATTAATCTGTAAACTGAAAAGGTTGGACTATGTCTAACCCTCTGAGGTCTCTCCCAATTCTAGATCTTTGATCCTTTAATTATTTTAAGTAAAGCCAACAGACTCAGAGAGGCTGTGACTTGCTTAAGGTAAACCAACTATTAAATATCAGATATGCTACTTGGTCTTCTGACTCCAATGCCAGTGCTTCAACCAACTAGATTTTCGCAAAATTTAGAAAGAACATTTTCTGACATGGAGGAGGTTCTTGTGTCTCTTTTGGTACTTCAAATCCCAAAATTTCCTTCATTTATTATGAATTTATTTTATTGGAGGAGGAGGGTTGTTTGTGATTATAGTTTTCCAAATTACTAAAAGAAAAATGTGTCACGAGGAAACAAATACACACACACACACACACACACACACACACACATAAAATCTGTTAATGTGTTTGGATGAGACAAACCAATTTATTATAACTTCCATGGAACAGAGGAAACCCCAAGTGAGAGGCTGAAGGTTTGACATTTTGTGTTCTTGGAAGATTCCATAGTACCTTCCAGAAAGTGTAAACTCTGGAGCACTGCCCAAATTACGAACTGGGTAATGATATGCTGCTTTATTAAATCCCTGCTGGGTTTAAAGGGAATTATTCTTTATTTTTCTTGTTTAAGGGGTGTTCTACTTTTAAAGACTCATCCTGAAGCAACCGTGCTTCATAAATAACTTTTATTTACTCACCTGGAGGGCATTTTAGCATATCTTGCTTATTGATATTTAACTGTATAATTTCCCTTGATTTCTGGAAGTCATGAGGTTTGAGGAATGCAAACTATAAAAGCACAGGGTATTTTGTTTTCCCTCAAAATATATTGCTCAAACACACACACACACACACACACACACACACACACACACACACACACACACACACACACACACACTTGCATGTTACAATCCCTTGAGTATCTTTTTTGGATCAAAGATAGTAATAGAAATGCAAACATATAGGTGGTGATGAGTAAAAAAGAAACTGTCATATCCATTTCCTGTTAAATGAAACTTCTAGGGTAACATTGTACAGAAAAGTAAGAAAGAAACAAATGAGAACAAACAATTGAGGATAAGAAAGAGACGATACAATCAGGAAACAGACGATGTGATAACTAACCATCTCTGGTGGACACACTTGACCTCAATTATTTACTTTAACAATGATGGTGCAGTGTGACAATGGCAATATTTACTAGTGATTTCCAAGTGATGAATGCAGGAACCTAGACTTTGTTTCCATTTGTGTCCAAGTTTATGATTCCTTCATTTTAGGACCCTCATCTCACAGCTGCTCATATTTCAACATTAAGACTAGATGGCATGTCCTCTATTTAAGGTGTTTTTTGGCCTTTTTTTCCCCTCTCAGCAACCTGTTAGATATCTGGCACTTTGGGGGCTAGGACAAAGACGCAATAACAATCTGTAACCTCCAGATATTTGGCTTATGGGATGCCACTGGTGGAATCTGCCTTGCCAGCTTTGAGGAGGGCATCCAACATTGCTAGAAGTTCACTTGAGTATTTCAGCAGATTGAGAACAGTGACCTACGTGTTTTATGGCACTACTGGGCATTGGCTTGAGCACATCTGCGATACATTTAGGCTGCCAAACCACTTCTGAATGAGGCAAGAAGATGGTATGAACCCACTGAGATTTTCATACATGTATAATGCTCACTTGATAACATCAGTTTCCTTAAACATTCAGTATGACTATTACCAGTCAAAATGCTTCTGCCACTGCTCTATAGGTTTCCATTTCAGAAAGAAAAAGCAACAACAAATTTTCCCTCAGACTTCTCTTATGTGCTCATGTTTAACCTAACTTTTGCACTATCATTACATTCATTCATTTAGTCATCAATCATATCTTCACTGTCTACCAAAGTATATATAACATGATGTGTTTCTGCATTAAAGAATACAATTCTGGATTTTAGGCACATAGATGGTAGCTACTGGAAATGCTAACATTTCCTTACTCCTTATTGATATAGTGAGGGGTGGTGGGTGGCTGGCAGAAACTTGGAAGCATTCTATTGGTGGTATGAAACACTTATGGGTATAAAGCCCCTCCCAGGTAACATGAGACTGAATAGATCATTAAGCCTACAGTGATGAAGTTTCCCATACAGGTCCAAAGGAGTCACTCAAAACCTATCTGGTAGGCAGTTGGTTGACTTGGGCGAAGGTTTTTGATATTAACTCTTAATGCAGCAAAGCATTCTACTTAGTGGAAGTAAAGAATTCTTCATTAATGGGCACACTAAAAATTCAAAAAGCAACATATTACAGACACATCTGTTGTCAGCAGTGTTAACTCCATCTACCTTGTTAAATGGATTTCTGCATCATACAGCAAAGGAATTTTGAAGTTGACTGTATTGTCCTCCTCCTTCTCTTCTTGACTCTCACTATTTAAAAAAAATAGGATGAAAACAATTAAAATGCTGCTTTAAATGTATACAGTATAAAACCTACCCACTCCCACGTCACAATTAATATTTCACCTTAAAGCTTGAAAACTGACACGTGCCAAGTTTTGAAGATTTTGGAAATTGAAGTCGAAGTTTATGTTAAAAGACACCTACAAAAATAAAATTCAAAGAAATAGATTACATAAATGAATCCCAGAGAAGTTCTCATAAATCACTGAATCAACAAAGTGTTTTACAAAAATGGCAAACATACCCAATTTGATTCTGAATTTGATCTACATCAAAATGTAGAAATTTGCCACATTCTTGTCATTCTCAACTAAGGCTGCTAATGTATCCTGTCTCACTTCATCTCCAGAATTTGGTCTTTTTTTTTAAACAAACTGAGACTCACTTTCACTTCCCCCCACCCTTCCCAAAGTTTACATTACCATTCTGCACATGTAATCCAGTACCAAATAGTTTATCATCTTTGTACTATATTTGAGTTAGTGCCAGGAGATAAGCTTAGGACTTTCCTGCCCGGCATTTTCACAAACGGTAGGCAATAGGTTTAGATGATATAGCACTCAGACATAGGTCATGTCTGTGTAGAAGGCACAGATTGTGGGTTATTCCAAAATTCAAGAATACATGAAAAATCCTAATTTATCCAATTTAAATAACGAGTTAAAGAAAAAAAAATCAACTTAGAGCTTCTTATGAGGTTATCAGTATTACTTGATGAAGACCTAGGAGCACTGAAGCTAAAGCACATTTGAACAGGGAGATGCCAGGAATACCTGCTGGTCACTCTTGACAGAAGGATAGCCAACATTACAGGTGAGAACCTTCTTGGAAGTATCCAACTGACATGAAACCTCAGTCCCGTCAACCTGAAAGGCAGACAAAAAAACCAAGACACAAAAGTGATGATTATGTGTGCAAGTATGAGAGATTAAAAAAATACATATGCAAGCTTCATGATAATAATAATAACAAAGTGAAGTGTTTTATCTATTTTAAAATAATTGTGAGTTAGAAATTTTAGGCTATATGCTAGGAAAAACTTCTTATAACTAAAGCTGTCCAAAAATGGAATGCACTGCTACTAAAGACAGTGGCTTTACCCTTCCAGGAGGTCTTCAAACAAAGGACATATAATCATTTGTGAGAAATATCACAGTGAGGTTTCCTTTTGAGTATGAGTTGGTCTGCATGGTTACTGAGGTCCCTTAAAACTTGAGCATTCTGGGATTCTGTTATTGGTGGGCTTGGAGTTCCAAGTTTAGCCTGATCTATTTAGAATTTGCATTACATTGTTTCTGGAAAAAAAATTAAATTCATGATGAGACACTCTCAAAAAGATAAATGATCAAAGGAGGGGGACAGTTTTTAAAAGAAGGAACACAAATTCTTGACAATATTTTTAAATTCTCCAAATCATCAATAATGAGAAGTGCAAATCAAAGTAACTATGGGCTTTCATTTCTCGACCACCAAATTGGCAGACATAGTAAAAGCCAGAAATAATGTTGAAGGGGCTGTGTAAAATCAGACACATCAATATACTAGTGGTAGAACTATGGATTGGTCCAATCTTTCTGGAAAGTAATGTAGAATTATGGGCTGAGGGGGCAGCTAGGTGGTACAGTGGATATAGCACCAGCCCTGGAGTCAGAAGGACCTGAGTTCAAATCCAGATTCAGACACATGATACTCACTACCTGTGTGACCCTAGGCAGGTCACTTGACCCTGATTGACTCACCCCCCCCCAAAAAAATTATGGGCTGAAAGTTACCAAATTATTCATAACCCTTAGGGCCAAAGATCTAATTACTGGTCATGTGTCCTAATTAGATAAATGTTAGAAAAAAGAAGAAAAATAGAAAGAAGAAGACAAAATACAACAAAATGCTTACAGCAACATTTTTTTTTATAGTAGAAAAACAGGTGAGAGGCAAAAACCAGCCAAGAGGGCAAAGTACCAGGAAGAAATACAGCTGAGCTCTCTCTCCTACAACTATTCCATAAAAATCTAGAAAACCCATCAGGTTGAGTCTTGAGTAGGAGGTCCAAAAAAAGAAAATCAGATTGAGTCTTTTTTCTTTTTCCCAGCCCAGGTCAGCATAAAAACAGAGAAGCCTACTTCCACTGGGGATTGAATCTAGCCAGGAACGGCCACTTGGAGCATTCCAGCAGAAAGACTGCTGAAGGTTTGTCTCCCCATGACTACAACAATGTAAGTGGAAAGGTTAAAAAATTAAAAATGAATGTTGCAAAATTATAAAGAGCAAGCCATAAGAGATACAAGAAGACATTCCCATCCCACCCTTTGGCAGAGATGGCAAGCCTACAAGTGTTGCACATTGCATATATTTTTAGACATTTTCCGTATGTTGATCAGTTATATTGATTTTTCCCCTTCTTTTTCTTTTCTTTTTGTGTCTTTAAAAATACTATTTGTTATATGGTATGGCTCTTTGGAAGTGAAAGGTAAAAGGATACTGGGGAAATTATGGTGATATAAAAGAATTATTGGACTATCTGAAAGTTGTGACTAAAAAAAAAAAGAGCTAAACATCTTAGTTCAAGACCTTCCCTTATCTCTTAGAATCAAGACGACAAAGTGAAAAGAAAGAATACACTAGTCCCTTTCCTAAAGAAACTTCAAAATAAAACTCCCAGGAGTATTATAGGCAACATTTAGAGATTGTTGGTCAGAGAAAAAATACTGCAAGTAGCCCGAAAGTAAGAATTTACATACCAAAGGGTCAGTCAGGATCATACAAATTTATCAATGGCAAATAAAAAGGAGTGGAGAGCAGAATATCACAGAAGGCAAAACATAAAGGCTTACAGCTAAAAGTAACTTACCCACCAAAACTCAATATAATGTTGCAGGGAAAAAATAAGCCTTTAATAAAATAGAGGACTTCCAAGTATTCTTGACATAAAAGATTAGAACTATAAGAAATTCTGAAATATAAATACAGGACTCAAGAGAAACAAAGACAGGTAAATATGAGTGAGCAATACTAATAAACTAAACAGGGATGAATGGTTTACACTTTAATATGGGGAGATGATACATGTGTCCAAGATTACAAAGAGAATCTAATAAGGCACAGGGCCTAAGGAGAGTTTTTGGTATATTTTGATGACCTTTAAAGCTGAAAAAGAAGAGGAGGCAAAGGAATTCACTAAGGGGATGGGCAAGGGAGAAGGGAAATGCAAGCTCTTTGAGGGCAGGGAATGTCTTTCTTTTTATTAATTACATCCCCACCATTTAGCACAGTGCCTGGCACATGGCAGGTGCTCAATAAATATTGGATTACATTGGATTGGAACAAGAAAACAGGAGGGAAAAGGAAGAACAAAAGGAGAGAATAAGAGGGAGATTAAGGGAAGAATTCATCCTAAGAAAAATGAACTCTAACTAAGGAGGGTAGATCACAATAAGCGATTTAAAAGGAAAGAAAGGGATAAAAACCTGCCATTTGGCTCTGGAACAGCGAAGGAGGACAGGGGAGCAGATATAGATTACAATGAACCTAGAGTACTGGTACTGAGCACATGCCTTCTATCTCACCACCCTCTTTATAAATAAATAAATACACATGCATATATGTATATGTATGTATTAACATGGCCAATGCAGGACTTTGTTTTGCTCAACAAATGTACGTTTATTGCAAGGGTTTTGTTTTGTCATTTGTATGGGGGGGATGAAGGGGAGAAAAAGTAGATTGTCATAAATTAAGAAAAAATTGAAGAAGTATAAGTTGAATGCAGCTGAAATTAGAAAACTGGAAAAAAAATCTTCATACCATGTTTTTTCTAACAAAGATCTCATTTTCAAGATATACAGCATGTCCCAAAAGTCTTAGTGCAGTTTTAAGCTTAAGACTGCACTAAGACTTTTGGGATATACTACATATAAGGAATTGATTCAATTTTACATTCTACAATTGACAAATAGTCAAAATATGAATAAGCAGTTTTCAAAGGAAGAAAACTAAACTAGCAATAGCTACATGAAAAAGTATTTCAAGTCATTAATAAGAAAAACGCAAATTAAACAAACCGAGGTTCTACCCTACATCCCTTAGTTGTCCAAGTTGGCAAAAAAGAGATAAATAAATGTTGGAGGGTCTATAGGAAAACAAGGCACTGGTAAAGAACTGTGAATTGGTCAAGGCATCTTGGAAAGCAAATTCAAACTATGCCCCCCAAATTACCAAACTGTGCATGTCCTTTGACATAGAAATGCTACTTCTAGGGCTACTACAAAGAAATCAAAGAAAGAAGAAAAGCACTCACATCTGCAATAATATTTGTAAGAGCCCCCTTTCTAGTAACAAAAAACTAGAAACTAATAAAAGTTATCAATTGAGGAATGAATGAACAAATTATATGAATATAATGAAATATCATTATCCCATTAGAAAGGACAAAAGGATGGTATCAGAGTAACCTGGGAAGACCTGTATGAAATGATGCATAGTAAAATGAGCAGAACCAGGAAAACAGTTGATACAATAATAACAACAGTATAAAGACAAACAACTTTGAAACACTTAGGAACACTGATCAGTGTTGACCAATCATAATGCAAAAAGACCACTGATGAAGAATATTACTTCCTGACAGAGAAGTGATACACTTAAGATGCAGAATAAGACACACATTTTCACATGGCCAACATTAGAATTTAGTTTGCTTGATTATGCATATTTCTTACAAGGATCCTTTTTTTTTAATGGGAGAAGAGAGGTGAGGAAAGAAATAAAAGCTTATTAGTTGAAAAGAATTCATGAACAGTAACAACATAAGCTAGGAGCAAAGTTTTTGTTCCAGGCAAAAAATCTAGAAACTCATTGACTAGGAAACAAACAGTAGTATATAAATATATTAGCATATTATTATGCAATAAGATATGATGACTAGAAAGATTGTGGGAATTTAGAGAAACATAGGAATACTGATAAATCAAGTCAAGTCAACAAACATTTATTAAGCACCTACCATGTGCCAGGCACTGTGCTACGTACTGGGAGTACAAAGAAAAGCAAATGACAGTCCCAGATCTCAACAAGCTGATAGAGAATACATGTAAACAACTATCTACAGAATGACCAGGATAAGTATGTGTATATATACATACATACACAAATATGCATATACACATATATGTATATGTGTATATATACATATATGTGTGTGTATATTTATGTATGTGTATATGTAAACATATACTTATGTATATATATGCGTGTGTGTATATATACATATATACATATATATACATATATGTATATATATATATATATATATATATATATATATATATATATATATATATATATATATATATATATATATATATATATAACCAATATATTTTATCGAAAAAAATACAAGAGGAAAGGCATTAACATTAAGGATACTAGGAAAGGCTTTTTTGGGCTTTAGCTGAGTCTTGAAGGAAATAAGGGAAGCCAGAAGGCGGAATTGAGAAATGGCAGTTCCAGCATGGAGGATAGCCACTGAAAGGATCCAGCATTGGGAAATGGGGTGTCTAGACTCATAGGGGTGGCAAACTGTGGCTTTGAGGCCACATGTGTCCTTCTAGATTCTTAAGTGTGGCTTTTTGATTGAATCCAAATTTTATAGAACAAATAAGTTTAATGAAAATCTAGAGTCCAACTCTAGAGTGAGAAAAGGCAAGATAACTGGATCACAGAGTACACTGGGGAGAGAGTAAAGTGTAAAATGACTGAAAAAGTAGGAAGGGGATATCCAAATGATGCCTGGCTTTAAAAGCCAAACAGTGGATTTTGTACTCAATCCTGAAGGTGATAGGGAGCCACTGGAGTTTACTGAATAAGAGGGTGACACAGTCAGACCTCTGATTTAGGAAAAGTAATTTGACAGCTGAGTGGAAGATGGATTGGACTGGGGGTAAACTTGAAGAAATAATGGAAAGCAAAGTAAACAGAACCAAGAGAGCAATCTATACAATGACTAAAATATTTCAAATGAAAGCAATGTTAAAAGGCACTGGACTCTGTTATTAATTTCTTAATTACTTAAATCTTTTTCAGAATCTTTTTTCCTTTAAAATAGAAAGTTGCATTTTTAATTCTCTACTGCACCCCCACAAAAAATACTGAAAAGGTCAGGGCAGGCTCAAAACTAAGCCCAACAAGTTTAAATAAGAAAATAGATAAAAATCTTTTTTATCCTATTCTTAAGTGTGTCTGTTAAAAAAAATACCCCAAATTATAGCTTTTGCTTTATTTTCCTTTACCCCTTGGAGAAAATATCCACATTCAAATGTGTTTCTGGCACAGTGTTCATCTCTATTTGATTAGTGGGTTTGGCTCAAATACAAAAACCTTGACCACAGAAAGGCCTGTGGTTCCAAAGCTACAAAGAATAAGCCTAAGCTCTGTGCATATCAGCCCTTTGATTTAGCAAGTTCAGGCTGAGGCATGTGGGGGGCAGACACAGCAGCAGCACCAGATCTCTGTGCTACTGGGAGTTAGGGGAGTGTAAAATGTCTTGTGCCAAGTCTCACAGGAAAAGAAAAGATAATTTGTCCAGTGAAGCAAAAATCTGTCTAGATATAGTGCCAATTTATATGCCAACCTGCCCTACTTAGAAGTTATAAAATTAGGATGTTTTTATTATTAAGGTGGAAACGCTGCTTTAAATGAGGAAGATAAGCTGAGCAGCCTCAAGACCACTTGGGAAAAGAGGAAGGTTTCAGTACCAGACAAGAGGAAACAAAGAGCTCCCCGTTTACAGGCCCAAATGAACAAATGCTATAAGTGGGAAGAAAAGTTAAGTTAGTCATTGTATACTGTCACATACCGATGCCGAGGACGAGGCAAAAAACAAGTTTTCTGAGAAAGCAGCCACAATTCTGGTGTTATAAGCGCTTTCTCCTTTATTTTTCAGCATCACTGCAAATGTTAACCTTCTATTTTGGCTGCTGACAATATATGGCTGTTTTCTGTTAATAATAAAAGCAAAAAAGCTAGAGCAAATGGTACAATTTGTCTCCAAATCAATCCACCCTGGATATTCAAAGACTTTCTACACCCAAAATTACAAAGATGTTTTATATGAGATTGAAATACTGAGAATAAAATATTTCTGAGCAATAAACTGAATTAGGACTACTTTAGTTGAGAATGAAAGTAAAATGATGAAATGTTACTATGTTTTCTTAATTGTAACTTTAAAATACAAATAGGCATATCCCCAAGTGTTTTCCTTCTATACTAATGCGAGGAACTGAAATTCTATTTGTATAGGTATTTATTCATGACAAATGGCAAATGTTCCCCACATAACAAATACATACTTTATTTATAAAGAGTAACTGAACAAAATCTTCTCCACAATATATTATTTCTTCTCTCTCTCTCTCTCTCTCTCTCTCTCTCTCCTCTCTCTCTCTCTCTCTCTCTCTCTCTCTCTCTCTCTCCTCTCCCTCCCCCCTCTCCTTCCCTCTTCCTCTCTCTCTCCCCTTTATCTCTCTCTGTCTGCCTATCTATCTCTTTCTCTCTCTCTCACACACACACACACACACACACACACACACACACACACACACACACAGAGTTTCAAAGTGAAACTTACTGAGTATCCGTTATCTGTTGAACTTTAAGGACAAGATCAGAGATGCAGACTCCATCATCCCCACAGTCTTTTAAAAAAGGTATCTAAAGAAAGTGAAAATGTCATTTCCCCCCCCACACATACTGTTAAGGGAGGCAACTTGGAGATTGTGTTATTATTGGCATTGGCACTGTGACGATTGGAATTTAATTTGGTTTGGTCAAAGAACAGAATTATTCATTTTAAAAATTGTGAAGGCCAGGCCTCTACTTACACTGAAGTCCTTTGAAGTCTCAGAATACTCTTCAAGAGCAGGACTCGTACCGGGCTTTGCCAAACTGATGTCCACTCGGACATTTAAGGAGTTGACAACATCAGAAGGTTCCTGAGAAACAAAGCTTCCCTTTCAATTTGAACAGAGTAAAGAAAGTGACATAAAAAGTAGCTACAGAATGATTTCACTATTACAAATATGGTCAACTCTCAATTGTGAATATGGGTAGCAAGAGACAGAGACAGGATGCTGAGGGGTTCATTCAGGATCCACATTCAGGATGGATGAAATCACACATCCTTCAAGTCGTGACATGTTGCTGGTCTTTGACATTTTCATCCAAAGGCTCAAATAAAACTAAACTCAACTCATTAAAAAAGTTTGGCATTAATCTCAGCTAATATAATCAGAAGATTTTGTTAATCATGGGCACTCACTTCCTTAAGGTTGTGGGATTCCATATGCATATATATTCCCTTTGTCTAGTCAAATCAAACTCCCTTCACCCCCTAAATGGTCTCTAAGTAACAGTGGCTAACCTGTTTCCTTTGAGGAACCTCTCCAAATTTAGCTAGGTTTGAGGAAAGACAAGCATAGTCTACTGCTCTTTTCATATATGTAGCCTTTTGTTTGGTAGACTCTTCTAGGTCTTACGTTGTGCTGGCATAGTCTTTTTATTATTATTTTTTTAGGCAACTGGGGTTAAGTGACGTGCCCAGGGTCACATAGCTAGTAAGTGTCAAGTGTTTGGTCTGAGGCCAGATTTGAAATCAGGTTCTCCTGACTTCAGGGCTGGTGCTCTATCCACTGTGCCACCTAGCTGCCCCATGCTGGCATAGTCTTAAAGAACTCAAGCACACCTACACTAAAGTGAGCAACCAGAGCAGGACTTTAGTGTACTGTAGATACAACAGTAAATGGCTATGAAAGTCAATGATCTATTCAGTTACAATAATCAGAAAAAAAGAACCCTTAGAAATTTCTTTCTCCCCATCTTCCATTGCCTATCACTTTAATCTAGAATCCAGTCTTTTGATTAATAATTATTTCTCTAATTTTCTACCACAAAAGCTTAATTTTCAAGAACCACTAGGCTTCTTGGCCAAAGTTGCTGACCACATAATATTAGATTGTGGTCTGGAAGGAAACTTGGTTTGGCATTTGTTGTTTGACCTTCGTTCTCAAAGAGGACCAAGGTATCAGGAAGATGATGCCATGACTTACACATGAATTGGATTTAAGTGACGGAGTGCTGCACAAAGTCACTAGCCCCACTTTCTCCTTTGGAGCCATCTGGGTCTGGTGGCAAGATATTAATCAGGACAACTGGTAAGGTCGCTGAATGCATTGGGACACCTTAGCCTTTTTAAGCTAAGGTCTTTCCCAGGTCTCAGTTTGACTGAGGTAAAGTCCATTCAACGATTAAGACTAGGTAAGAAATGAGACAACGAATGGTCTTTTACCTAGTCAAATTTAAAAAAAATCAATCTGAGAGGGGAAGACGCTTGGAGTTTGGCAATTAGGGCAGCAGCAAAAGAAGGCCCTACGGAGTTTCAGGGTTGTGATTGATAAGCTCAAAGACAGTGCTTGTCTCTACTCTAGAGACAGAAAATGAAGGCCATCTATCTAGATAATGAAGGCAGTAATGACCTCCATTCTCCTCTCTACTGGGTAGGAAGTTAGGAAATTTGGCTCCTAAGAGGCACAAGAACAATTTGGAATATTAGATAAATGACATTTCACAATTTTCAGTTAAAATAAAATTATAAACTAGAAATTTCAAAAGTTAAGTGTACTTAGTAACAATGTAATAAATTATTTTTGGCCAGTTCCCCCTAAATATATTTACATGCGTATTTCAGGAAAGGGCTATTCAAATGGCAATAACTCCATATTCTCAAAAAATACGCAAGTAGCATTTAAAATTTTACAACGTACATATTATCTCCTCCAATTGAATGTAAGCTCCTTGAAGGCAGGGGTTTTTATTTTTGCTTTTGATTAATTAACTGTACCACCAGACCTGGCAGAGTCTCCCAAGCTAGGAAGTCTTTGAGCAGGAATCAGAAATTGATAGTAAATTGATTGAAGATCACGCTAGCTAAATTCAGAGAGACTCCTTACTAGATAGGACACAGGGTGGTATATTTTTCAACATGGTGACTCTCTAACACCATTCACTAAGTTATAGTTGGATACTTTAATATAGTATATTTTGTTGGTGGAAGGGGAGTAATTATGCCAATGAAAGAACATATCTTTGACCTATGTTTAAAGTTATACCAAAGATGAAAAATTACTAGTTTTCAGGCTTTTATTCATAAATGATTCATTTAATTGTCTTATTTAAGTCTTCAAATTACAGTTATTAAACAGCTGGATAAGTTTGCCTTTAAACTTTATCATCATCCCACCCAAACTAACCCAGAAAAGTAATTTAAATGTTCTGCCATGTTTGTATATTTCCATTGTTTTACCCTGCCTTTCCCCATTTTAACTCATTCTCTACACAGCTGTCAAAGCAACCCTGCCAAAATGCAGGTCAGACTATGGCATTCCCCTAATCAATAAACTTCAATAACTCCCTATTGCCTTTAGGACTAAAAAGAAACACTCACGTTTGGCATTTAAAGCTTTTTACATCCTGGTCCCAATCAACATTTATAGCTTATTATAATGATTTTCCTTCATCTACTGTAGCACCTCCTTACTGTTCCTCATTCCTGCCATTCCATTTTCCACCTTTGTCCCTTTGCCCTGGCCGTCCCCATAGCTGGAATACACTCCTTCCTCACCTCTGCTTTTTGGTATCTTTTGTTTCCTTCAAGACTCAGTTTATGGCCAGGGGTGGGGAGCCTGTGGCCTCGAGGCCACATGTGGCCTTCTAGGTCCTCAAGTACGGCCCTCTGACTGATCCAAGTTTTACAGAACAAATCCTTTTATTCAGGGAATTTGTTCTGTGAAGTTGCATTCAGTCAAAGGGTTGCTTCTGAGGACCTAGAGGGCCACACGTGGCCTCGAGGCTGCAGGCTCCCCCCCCACCCCGATTTAGGCACTACCTTCTGCAGGAGGCCTTTTACAACATCTCTAGGGGCTAGTTCCTCACTCTATCTTTTAGTGATATTATATATTTTGCATGCATACATACAAACATATGTGTGTGTATATGTATATATATGTGTGTGTGTGTATACACACACACACATATATATACACACATACACACACATATGTTGTAAAAGAATAGAATTTCCTTCATTGTAGCAATTGATTCATGTTTGTCTTTGAATCCACAGCACTGAGCACAATGCCTGTCACAGAGTAGGTGTCTAATAAATGCTTGTTGATTGATAAGTTACTTTCAAATCCTGTTTATGGTTTCTAATGATAAATATGTATATTATCTACAACTTAATTTTACTTCTGGCAGTCCCCCCCAAGCAATCATATTTATTTTTTAAAAATCAAATAAAAACACAAAAGTGGACTAAATAATGTTGACTCTGCTATCATCTATTCTCTTCTATCCATCCCAAGTCAAATCCATTTATCTATTACTTAGAGGTGATCTTAGTAGCATAACAATACATGCATTTTACTGTGCAAGAAAAAGTCCTTACAGTTTGCTGGTATTTGAGTTTCCTTGTTTTTAGACACTGAGAATTCTGTTTAAGAAAACATTGACTTTGATTTTTTTTTCATTAATGTGTTACTAATAGCTTGTTTTTGGAGCAGCTAGTTAGAGTGCTAGACCTGAAGTCAGGAAGACCTGACTTCAAATGTGTCTTCAGACACTTACTATCTATGTGACCCTGGGCAAATCATTTAACCCTGTTTACCTCAGTTTCCTCATCTGTAAAATGAGCGGGAGAAGAAAATGGCAAACCACTCCAGTATCTTTGCCAAGAAAACCCCAGATGGGGTCACAAAGAGTCAGATAGGACTGAAACAACTGAACCACAATAGCTTAAGTTGAGAACCTAAGTATTAATTAAAAAACGAACATTCATTACATGAATATCTATTGTAAACCAGGTAACAGTAAGCGATAAGCACAGGAGTACAAAGGCAAAAAAGTGAAATCATTTCCACTCTCAATAGAAAGACTTTACTATGTGCAATGAAAGGGAAAGAAACCACAAATATTGTCATAGAATGATATTGCATTCCTTATTTATCCAATAGGCAAGAGTACAATAATGTACTTACAGGGAGGAGCATGCAAAGCTCTCATTTATTTGATGGTTATGGGAAATTTCATGGTGGGAAAAAGAGAAAATTATGAGTCCTTACCTGTATATTGATGATGTGCTCTGAACAAGTATGTGTATGATACACCACCACGTTTTTCTTAACGTATCTTTCATTGTTTTCTTTAAATAATCCCCTAGAAGTTATTCTAGAGGAAAATCGATCAGCATCAAGTGTTATATTGTAGATAATATCTGTTTAGAAAGGAACAAAATGAGTATTTCTTAAGTGTCTATGATGCCAGCACTATGCTAAGCGCTGTGTAAATATTATCTCATTTAATTCTCACAACAACCCTGGGAGGTAGATGCTATTATTATACCCATTTTGCAATTGAGGAAAGTGAAGCAGACAGAACATTTATGAAACCAGAAAGCAACTTGCCCAGAGTCACACAGATACTAAGAGTCTGAGGGTGGTCTTGAACTGGAGTCTTCCTGACTCCAGGCCCACCAGTCTGTTCACTATGCCACCTAGCTCACACAAACAAGAAGAGAGAACACCAAATATGTTCCTAATTACAAATTTAATTTGAGGAAAGACCATAAGAACTGTGTTTGTCTCACAAGGCAAGATGGCAAAGATGCAAAGTATAATAAGAAAAGGGAGTGGCATCTAGTCAGAATAAAACCTTCCCAAGTTGAAGTGAATGAAACATGTTAATGAAATGACCTCTCAGGCTCTGATCTCTCACTCGGACCAGCTAGGCTACCATTTTTCCTCTCTCTCTCTCTCTCTCTGCCACGTCTCAGATTGTTTCACATATCATATAAAAATGATTATTGGTCAGTATACCTACACCTCATACTTTTTAGAGTGCATTCATAACAGAGGAGGTATAATATGGTAAAAAGAAATATTAGCTATTTAGTCAATAAATAGTGTCTGAGTCCTGGTTCTGCCAATTATAAGTTAGATGAACTAATCTAGCAAGTTACTTTGTTAAGCTTCAGTTTCCTCATCTGCAAAATGAGGATAAGACAAGACTCCTCAAACAGGTTCACTGCAATGATTAAACGAGTTCATGTACGTAAAAGGTTTTGAAACCAGAAAGTGCTAAATAAGCCTGTCGTCATGTTATTAGATGCTTACAACAATGTAATGTAAAGGGTATATTGGCAGAGAAGGAATTATTTTATATGAATAGCACATTCTGTTCACATGCTGTTCAAATAATTTTAAAATAAAAATAGGATCAGGTAAAAAACAAAGAGGCAAATACAGGCAGAGAAGCAGTTGCCACCAACTCCTCTTTCCCAGGTTGGCTTGTTCAGTCCCTTTATTGAACTTCGATTCCCTTTCCACACCTATTCTCAGTATAATTAGAAAAAGTTAACCATAATTTAAAAATTAAAGCATCCTTAACCCTGATCTGGGGAAGTCAGGTGGTACAGTGGATAAAGTGCCAGGAAGACTCATCTTGAATTCAAATCTGGTCTCAGTCACTCCCTAGCTGTGTGACCCTGGGCAAATCACTTAACCCTGTTTGCCTTAGTTTCCTCATCTATAAAATGAGCTGGAGAAGGAAATGGTAAACCACTCTAGTATCTTTGCCAAGAAAGCTCCAAATGAGGTCACAGTGTTGGATACAACTGAAAAAACAAACCCTGATCTAGGACAGGGAAGATGAAAGAGGATATTAGGGGATTAAGAACTGATATAAACCGGCTAGTTTCTTTGAAAAGTAAAACTATAGTAGTTAATTAAGACCTTCTGTCATTTTTGTGTCCAAAATGTAGAGAAAAACTCTGGCCATGTCTCCATGGAAAATATATGTTATTAATAGCACTATTTACTCCTTCCAAGATTCTCATCTCTTTTATTTTAGTACTTTCTGTACTTTTGAATCCAAGTGTGCTAAACTACTGAAAACAGTAGTTCTTCAAGGACACCCGATAGCCTTGTCAATGTTGTCTACAGTCTCATAGGAGAGGTGGTCATTTTTCATTTTTTGTTATGTTTAGTTCTGTTTTGTTTTTTAGCTTAAACAACAAGGTCGCATAGGAATATATATCTAGGACCAGAAAGGACCTCAGAGGCATCTAGGCCATTTTTTTTGTTTTATAGGTAAAGAAACTGCAGCCTTGGAATTTTAAGTGATTTGTCCAAGTTATGATAGACATCCGATGACAGAAATAATAGCAACAATTAGTCATTTCAGTGGTTTGAAAATGAGACTCCCATCTTACGCAAATGAACCTTGTGAACCACAGAGTATTGCAAATTAATATGGTATAAAATAATGCAGCTAATTAACAACTGATCATCACTGACCTGTCTGTGCCCAGACAATGGCCTGAGAGGTAAAAGGGACAGATACCAAATAAGAACAACTCGGGAAACCTCGAAAGAAAGATGGTGAATGGAGAAGAACCTTAATGGCAGAAAGTTAGTTTGGAGTACATTTAGGGCAAGAGGGATGAATTCCATTTGAAAAGGAGAAGATATATGAGATGAGATGTTTCCAGGGCAGCACTCTGACCAGACAGTGAGCCATTGTTTGCCAATGAATATATTTTTCCACTGAATCATTTAAGCAGACTGATCTATTAAGAATCATAAGGCAATGATTTTGGAACTGAGCTACCTCTATGATTCTTGTGCATTATAAAGGCAAGTCTGTGAAATGTACTAAAAGTTGGGATGATCTTTGAAAAAAACTAAAGAAAAGAATTCTAGACAGATGAGACAAGTTAAAAAATAGGGAAAGCACACAGTTATGAGGTTAGTGCCTGGCTTTGGAGTTCTAACTTCTAACTTAGGTAAGATGTCAACATATAGAGAGCAGTTTCTTTCTTTATAAGAATACATTCTGCCTCTACCTAAATGATTTTCCTAAAATACATACATACACACATACACATATACACATATATACATACATGTATGTATGTGTGTATGTATATATACATGTATATACATACATATATGTATGTATGTATATGTGTGTGTGTGTGTGTGTGTGTGTGTGTGTGTATATATCTATATATATATATATCTATATAGACTATGGCCTCTGATATTCAACGAATTTCAACGGCTCCCTAAAATCCTCTGTTTTGTATTTAAATTTCTTCACACCCAGGTCCCATCCTGCCTCTCCAGCTGTACTACACATTACTCCCCTCTGCACACACTATGATATTGTCAGTCTAGTCTTCTTACTGTTCCAAGTACATAACATAAGATTTCTTATCTCCCAACCTTTGTACTACCTGTCCCCCATGCACGGAATTCACTACATTCTTACCTCCCTCTACCTCTTGAAACCTCTGATTTCCTTCAAGACTCAGTACAAGTGCCATCCTTACATGAAGCCTTTCTTTATAATTTCACTTATTAGCCTCTCCCCACAGCTTGCAAAATGATCTTGTATCTGGTTTGTGTAGACCTGCACTACATGGTGCAGAAGACAGAGTGCTGGGCCTGAAATCAGGAAGAAATGAGTTCAAATCTGGTCTCAGATGCTTACTAGCTGCATAATCCTGGGCAAATCACTTAACCCTGTTTGCCTCAGTTTCCTCATCTGTAAAATAAGCTGGAGAAGGAAATGGCAAACCACTTCAGTATCTTTTCCAAGAAAACCCCAAATGGGGTCATGAAGAGTCAGACATGACTGAAACAATTGAACAACAACATATTCTATATCTCAGATTAAAATTGCCTCGTGCTCCCATTGAAAGTACAATTTCTGGCACAAAGAAGACACTTAAAAATAATTGATCGACTGAGTGACCAAAAGTACTTTAGAATATTATAACTTAGTAAGAAAGGGGAGTAAACTAGTCCCACAAACAGAATGGTCCTGTACCTAGCGTACTACACAGAATAAAGCATTTTACAAATACTATCAGCAGCATTAAAACTGATTGAAAAGTCATTTAACAAATTTGTCACACCCTTTGTCACATAGCAGGAGTTAGTAAATAAAAACCAAGACTCAATTCCAACCTTTTACTATGTAATACTAATAGAATAAGGCAGTCTTGTAAATAATAAAATCATTTCAAGCATTCTAATCAACTTGTCTGTCCAATTCACCACCTACTTGAAGCAACTTCTATCTTTTCTGAAAGGGTCAGAAATGAGTGTGTGTGTGTGTGTGTGTGTGTGTGTGTGTGTGTGCGTGCACACGCGCACATGAGTTTGCACATGTGCACGTGTGTTTCTATGGTCCAACAAGTGTGGGCAGGCAGTATAGCAGTTCAAGTGAGGACAGGTCTCCCTAATACCAGCCTTGCTTCCCCACAGCAAATAAATGATTCTCATTCCTGCCTTTACAGAAATTATTTTCCCCACATAGAATCAATCAATTAATAATGTTTAAGTATACACACTATGTGTCCCACTCTGTAGCAGATATAGGAGTCACAAACAGATGGCCCTAGCCATCACAGAGATTAAGAATTTTGTTGAGAACACAAGCCTACCTCACATGAAACAGGAGGAAACCAAATGCCACAGAATATTAGTAAAGTGCCAACTGAATGGTATAGCCTACAAATGCTACAGAAATTCAGGGAAAAGGAAAATCAATGAAGGCTAAAGTTATGGGTGAAGTTTTTACAAAGACTGTGAGGCTTAAGATGGGCCACATTGTAGGACCACAAGATTTTAGAGCAGAAAGGGACGTTAAGAATCAATCAATGAATAAGCATTTAAGTGCTTACCAAGTGCCAGGCTCTACACTAGAAACTGGGGATACAAAAATAAAAGAGTAATATTCCCTGCCCTCAGGGAGTTTATCTTCTATCAGAGTAAGCAACACGTTCAAATACAGGTTCAAATGTGAAATCGATACAATGTGATTTTGAGGACAGGGGGCTAGCAGCTTGGGTGGATTAGCAGCTTCACGCAGAAAGTGGTGCTTGAGCTGAGACTTCTAAATCCAACCCCTTCGTTGTGCAGATGGGAAAACTGTGGTCCCAATAAAGGGAAATGATATGACCTTGGAGGTCGCATAAGTAGTCAGTGACAGAACTGAAGCTCAAACTCAGCTCTGCTGACACTTAATCCAATGTTCTTTGAATTGCATCATGATTCCTCTCCTTGAAGCACTGGGAGGGCTAGGGTCAGTAGAAGAAGGGTGAACACCCGCACTGGAATGTGGCTGGGATGCATGCCTTCTACTGCCCTGTCAACACAAGTTTTGTGCATGACAGCATGTTAAACTACTCTAGCTGGGCTAGGGATCTCTCCCTTTTCTGTATTCTTATAGCCTTTTTAATCTATACAAAGCAATTTAGCACAATTTTATTCCATTCTGGTCTAGAACTGTGATTTCTTTTGACTCTGGTAATTCTCAGTCAGGAGACTCCCTCTACTTATACAGACCGATACCTGTTCTTCAAGTCTTGTTAGTTGTCTGGACATGATAAAATAATGGGGGGAAATTTAATAATGCAGATTAAGCTTAAAAGCATGCCATGCTATTTTCAGAAAGCTGGTTGTTAAACATTTCCCAGCATATCTCCAAATAGTAGGTACATAGCAGAGGAAAGATTTAAACCAGGCCACTCTTGCATGTACTATGTTATACTGCCTCTCTATATATTGATACGCATTTAGAGAATCCACCCCAAAAGTGCATGCGAAGCATTTGTGCCCAGCCTGTGGTGCAGCATTCCAAGCTCTCATTGGTCTGATCAGCCTGTTGGACACTCTGAAACTTGACTCTGGCATAGTTATGTCACTTTGGTCCTCTTTGAGAACGAAGGACAACAACCAACCATATATTAACTTTATACACCGAAATTTATTCTAATTGTTTCATCTGTATTAGTTCAAGGAGGGGAGTACTAAGTTTTATAATTCTCTTTTTTCCTTCCCTCCCCTAGCACCTGTTATTACTAGGAACTCAACATTCATCTACCCCTTCAGACATTAAGTATCAACTAAATGCAAGACAGAGAGAACGTGTCAGAGTGGACAAAATGCTGGGCTTGGAATCAGGAAGACCTGGATTCAAATGCTTTCTCTTCACCTCCCACTAACTGTATGATCCTAGACAAGTCACACAACCTCTACGTGCCTCAGGCAACTCCCTAGGATTTAGTAAATAAATCATAGACAGGTTGCTATCTATTGGGTAGGAATTCAGCTCATCTATCTATGATGTATGTGTTAGGCACAATGCTAAATGCTGAGAGTAGTAGAAAGATTAATAGAAACTGTCCCTTCTCTCAAGGAGCTTTAAATGAGTCCCAGCTCAGTTAGAAACTTGTCTCTTTGAGGGCAGGTAAGATTTCATTTTTGTCATTCTATCCCCAGCACAATCTAATACCGGACACACATAAGGATCTTAATACATTTTTAGTGATTGATTTATTGATTAGCTGAAGCCCCAGCTGCCCTGTCCAGGTCTAATGTTTCGGGGGAAAGTTGTATGTTTAGTCTAACTACAGCACCTGTAACCAGGGACAACTTCGTGATGTGATGGCGTCTGTGGAGAGAATGACAACTTTCACCTCAAAGGCATCCATTACCTCATTGAACTTGGGGAAAGCTGGTCCCAAGCTGCCCTTGTCTAACTAGCCTCTATTTTGCAGGCACTACAAAAGTGTTGGAAAGATGAATGCACCAGCACCCAGGTCTTTTTCTTTTGGTCTTTAATCCAAAAATGTTACTGAATTATTGTTAATAGATTTTTGCAAATGTATTTTGAAAAAGATCTTTTGGAGTCTGCTTACCCACTTGACTGTTTTGTGTGGTAGGTCTGAATTTTGCACTGAAGCACAATCTGAGGGTTATTTCAGCATTCTTGTTTAACAAATTGATCTTTTCAGGGGTAAATGAAGCTTCTATGGAGACATCAGCAATACTCTGTGACCTGAAATATATAAACAAACCTAGATTGATGTTATTACTGACAGAGCAGAAAGAACACCAGACTTGGGGTCAGAGACAACCTAGGTTCAAGCTCTGGAACTGTCACTCATAAGCCAGGTGCCTTGGGCAAGTCACTACTTCTGTGAGCCTCAGTTTCTTCATTAACAAAATGGGCATGCATAGTGACAATGATAAGAGAGACTGGCACCTGGCACCCCCAAGCTCTTTGTAATCTGCCATAACATACCCTACCTTTTCATTTGCAATACATGGCACAAGAAACCTACTGCCACAGATTAGGTGGCATGAGTGTTGTGCGTGCATCTGTGCATTTAAATCAGACAATCCCACGTACCAACCAAAGTGACTGCTCTTTGGCTGGCACCATAAAGTACTATGGCACTACTATAAAGTAATGCCATCTCCTCCTAACAATTTAATTACCCAAATGATAGTCCCTTTCAATCTATAACCTGGGGAGTCACCACACATATTCTCACTATATTGTCAGAGGACAAAAAATTTTAGGAGTTTCTATTTTTGAATGAATGGCTGTCAATGAAGCATCATGGTATGGGGACAGGGAGTTTGGGTTAGAGTAGAGAGGAATCCTATAAAAACATTGGCCTTGGAATAAGGAGACCAGAGTTGAAGTCCCAGCTCTGCCTCTTACTAGCTGTGGGACAGTGGGCAACTCTTTCACCTCTGGGCTGCACCTCAATTTCTACATCTGTAAAATTGAAGTGTCAGGCTCTCAACTCAAATATTCTATGATCAAGGGCCAGTTTGTGAGTCATGCAAGAAAGGCAGACACAACTCATTTTTTATTTAAAAAAATGTTATCACTCAGTTTAATCCTAGGCATGAGAATTAGGTAAGAAAAACTCTCGGCTGTTTACAAAAGTCAAAGCCAACCATGAAGGCTAAATGCTGACCACTGGCAACATCCAAAAGGATGAACCTCAGGCACTGAAAGCGATTCCAAAGAGGATCTCAGAAATATTCTTGAGCAATGAGATAAGTTCTTAGCATTTGCTTGACTGTAAAGGCACTGGTGTGTTTGTTTAAAAATAAAACAAAACACTGATTTTTATATACCTGTAATCTTTTAAAAGAAATGTGATACCTTTTCAGCAATGTAGCCCACCAAACTGTCTCTATTTTAAAAGTCACTAAATGTTATCCAAGAATAATTTCCATAAAAAGATGAATTTGATACCTTAATTTTCAAAACCCATTTAATTCTCTCAAACCTGAAGTAAAATAGCATTAGTAATGTCAAGCACTGAGACTAATGTTATATACGGCACCAGTGGCATAACATTTTCCAGCATTTAAGCTTCTTGGGCCCAAGTCATCATTTACAATGTATTTTTCAACTGTGACAAATAGAAAGACTGAGCCAGATTCTCCTCAGGACTTTGTTTCTTCCAGTTCTCTGCTTCAATCTGACTTCATTTATTCCCTCACTCTCCTTATAGGGACAATCTAGTCCAGTGTGTATTTCTGGCTTCTGAATCATATGGCCCTTGAATTCCTCCTATTGTTCTCCAGTCCCACAACTGCTGCAGAGGCCAGTTTCAAGGTCAAGCCAAATGAAATAAAGGTCATTTGTACATAAAAACTGAAAACAAGAATACCCCCATCATTCCACTGGAAGTTAAAATCTGCTCATACTACTCAGATTTTCCATATTCTCAATGTAAAACCTCTTATTGCATGGTACAATGGAAAGAGTACTGGATTTGCATTCAAATCCTGGCCCTGCCAAGTACCAGCTCTGTGACCTTGGGTAAAGCTCATCACTGAAGGCTCAGTTTCTTTATCTGTAAAATGAAGATAAATAACAGTGCTGGCACTACTGACCTCACATGGCTATTTATAATAATAAAAATAGCTAGTATTTATAAAGCACATTTAGTTTGGGAAAAGTGCTTTACAAATGTTATTCCATTTGATCCTCACAACATCCCTGTAAGGTAAGTGCTATTATTATTATTATTATTATCATTTTAGAAATAAGGAAACTGAGGCTGAGAGGTTGTTACTAGGTCACAAAGCCAGTAAAGGCCAGGCAGGATTTGAACTCTATCTTCTTGACTCTAGTCATATACCTGTACTGTCCCCTTTGCCACCAGAGGCTTCATAAAGTCATATACTGCTGTATGATGGTGAGCCATTATAGTTAATAAGGAAACTTGCATTCAGTGAGCTGGAAGATAAGGAAACATTCAGAGGTAACTTGGACTAATGTTGAAAACCAAGCTCTATTTAATAGTTCAGTTTTAACACTTGTGATTTAATGTACACTTAGCTCTTCAATGCAGAGGACTCACACTTCTCAAGCCTATTTTTACTCACCAAGAAATAACAAAATGCAAGCTCTGATGTTGTCTTATCTTGCATAAACTTCTGAAACCAAAATTCTACCACAACATCCCTTACTATAATTAAGCTGTCCCTAAGCATTTATTAAGACAGAGACTAAACCTTTGTTTTCACTGGTGTAGGGGTCGCCCAGTAAGGTAACTCCCTTTACCAAGGTGGGTCGGCACCTTCTCTGCAATTTACAGCCTTACAGAGAACCAAGAGGATTAATAATTTGCTCAGGGTCACACAGTATGTATCAGAGGTTGTATTTGAATCCAGGCAGTTCTGAGGCCAGTCCTCTATATATTATTTTAGAGACACAAAGACAAAAATAAAACAGTACCCACCCTCAAGAAGTTTATATTTTATCTGCTTGTTAAAAATATTTTCACCTGGGGAAAAGAGAAAAAGGGAAAAGTCCCTGGTCCATTGGCAGCTAAAAACTTTCACTGACTCACCAGAGCTGAACCACTTTTCCAAAGGCACCAATGGATATGTCAGTGATTGAATCTCCATTCAGATCTTCATAGCCATCTACTGCTCTCCCAAAATACTGGAGCTGATTCCTAAAGGCAGGATCTGACCCTAATATTTTCTGGAAATGAGCATATTTGATAATTAGAAGATGATATTTGTAAAGTGCTTTGCAAACCTTAAAGCACTATAAAATGCTAGCTATTATTATATTTCTATTCTGTGGAAACCAGCTGCTACTATCACTGAGAAGAGATAGGTTCCATCCTTCCTACGTCTTGACAGAGAAAAGTGATAGGCACAAGATACAGAATAAGACATACAGTTTTGGACAGTGCCAATGTGAGCATTTGTTTTGCTTGATTGTTCATGTTCATTACAAGGGCTATACTTTGTTTCATTTTTTCCATATAGGAAGTGGGTGTGTAGGAAGACAGAGGAGATAATGAAAGAAAGAAAAAGAAGAAAGAGAGGAAGAAAGGAAGGAAGAAAGGAGGGAGGAAGGGAAGGAAGGAAAGGAGAAGAAAGGAAACAACTAGCTTTCTACTCAAGAATCAATGTGCGTGTCAACATTAACTCATAAATTTAAAATATACAGGGATGTCATCATGGAAAGATTTACCTGAGAGTATTTTGTTCGTATGGTCCCCTGATGCCCATTGTAAATGTAAACAGCTCCAGAGTTCTCATTTTCAAGGGGTGAGCCCACTACAACATCATTGAAACCATCCAAATTAATGTCTGATAGAGCGGCAATCGCTGAGCCAAACCGGGCATTCTCCAAACCTGGAGGGCCTTCAAGGAATCGATGCTGATTCAAAATTCCCTTTTGGGAAGAGGAAAGGATAATTGATTAAAATAAATCATGCTTGCCATGTGTTAGGAATCTATCTGTGACAACTTTCAAACCAAGTTCCAACACATAAAATTTTAAAACATCATTAAAATTTTGGTGGCAAAAAATATACTCTGAGTAGCAGAATTTCCTTCAAGTAAAGATACAACTCAATTATATGCTCATAGACTAAACCTTGTTTTCTTTATTTTAGCCTATTAGACTTAGCATTGAACTTTTACAGCTACTAGGAAGTTATTACATGTCCTTTAAAAACATCAAGTTGAGGACAACTGTTGTCTAGCTTTTTCAGCAAATTTAACATTATGCATCTTCCATAGGGCACAGACTCTTTGGCAGCCCCTCTATAGTACCCTGCCTTGGGGTATTGAGTCAGTAGGCAACAGGAACTTGTGTTCACTTTTATTCCTTGAATTATATTTGTTGCTATTTAGTCATTTTCAGTCATGTCCAATAACTTCATTTGATTTTTTTCTCAGCAAAGATACTAGAGTGGTTTGTCATTTCCTTTTCATTTTACAGATGAGGAAACTGAGGCAAACAGGGTTAAGTGACTTGTTCAGGGTCATACAGTCAGTAAGTATCTGAGGCTAGATTTGAACTTAGGAAGATTAGTCTTCTCCCTGATTCCAAGCCCAGTGCTCTATCCACTGTGTCACACAGCTGCCCACTGAACTGTCTTACTTTGTAATAAAACTTAAATGCAGTTAAGTGTTCTGACTTATAGAACTGGGAAATAACAAGTCAGGCAGGTTAAGGTATTGACCATGTGAGTTAATTTTTTCCCATCTTCAACAGACCAGACAGAGGACATTTCTGAAAAAATACAGCCATCTCTCCAGCATTGTTTCTTTTTGGATTACAGAATAACCCTGCCCAAAATCTCCTATAAGGCAAGAATTTTAAGATTTTACAGATTCTTTGTTTTTGGGGCTGCTTGTGGGTTTTGAAGAATTTGCTATGATCCAGTGGTGTTCAAAAAGTTCCTTTGGTGACAGCCATTGGGAAAGATTATGCTTCAAAATCTTAAAAATGAGATCCTTAGCCTCTTCTGCTATCAATTCAGAGAATTTATATCTGAAGTGTTTGTGGCTCTAAGAAGAGTCAGGAAGACCTGTCATTTCTCACCTCAGACACATATCTGGCTATGTCACCATGGTCAAGTTATCTAAGCTCTCAGTGCTCTGGCTAACTCTGCAAATCTGGAAGCTGCAGAGAAGGTGATGACCTGAATTGGTAGAGATGGTTTGCTCATCTGGAAATTCCCTAGACCAATGAAACCACATGTGTAGTCCTTATCCTCATTACTAATAGATTACATAATTAGAGTTGGTGAGGAGCCTACTAGGTTGCATAGTGGATAGAGCTCTGGGCTTGGAATCAGGAAGACCTAATTTTAAACTTGGCCCCAGACACTTACTAGCTATGTGACCCTGGACAAGTCACTTAACCCTATTTGCCTCATCTGTCAAATGAGCTGGAGAAGGAAATGACTAACCACTCCAATACTTCTGCCAAGAAAACCCCAAATGGGGTCATGAAGAATCAGATGTGATGAGATGAGTGAACAACAAAAGAGTTGGTGAAGAAAAAAAAAAGTCTTTCTTTGCCCTCCTTTCAATTTTACAACCATGGAGTTCCAGGACAATCTTTTTCTGTCCTGAATTACAGCTTCTGTTAATTTCAAGACTAAACATTTCAAACTCAAAGCTAATTAAATACCTCCCATGTGCAAAGCACTGTACTAGGAACTGGGATACAGAGACAAAATCAGAGTATCTACTTACATTCAAGGATCTAATGTTCTACTGGAGGATCTGATATATGTGTATAAGGATGGGGGCCAATTCAGTCAAATCAATTACCCACCCCTCTTAAGGTAAAGATAATATATTACTTCCTGACAACTTTGTCAGGAAATTACAATTAATCAATCAGTGATGTGTACTAGGTGAAAACAGAGGCCAGGCACTTCTATTGAATCCGTCAATCAAAGGCATGACAATTGTAATGCAATAGGATGTCTGCTCAGATTGACTGAGGAACTTACTCATGCCTTACAGGGCTTGTATAAAGAAACAGTTTGTTAGTTTAAATCTAGTTTTTTAGTGATTAAAAATCATGAGAGAGCAGTTCCAGCCAAGTTCCTAAAAAGGAATCACTTGGGGAGGGGGAAGGGGAGAAAAGCATTGGCCATGGCTTTCTCCTTCCCCTACCTCAACCACAGGAAGACTGTGTGAACTTCACAGGGGCAGAGGATTTGGGATTTCCATTTAATCTCTTGGTCCTCAGGGCATCTCCAGAACAAGCTAGTGCATGGTCTGCCTCAGGATCTAAGATTATATTAGACACATCAAGGACAGGCAGCTTGAAGCCCACTAGAAAAGTTTCACTGTACCTAAGGGGCCATCCTGAGGAATCTGGATAAAAGGACTTTGAGGAGTACTGAGTTTTGTCACATGTGCTCTCTAAGCCTGAGTTCACTTTTCCCTGGACTTTGTATATGCTGTTTTGAGAGTGTCACAGACTTTTGGGGCTATGTTTTATACCAAGTCTTCTTATTATATACTACTTAATAAACACATTTTTGCTGTTTAGTCATTTTTCAGTCATGTCCGACTCTTTGTGACCCCTTTTTGGGGTTTTCTTGTGAAAGATACTGGAGTGGTTTACCATTTCCTTCTCCAGCTCATTTTACAGATGAGCAAACAGGGTTAAGGGACTTGTACAGGGTCACACAGCTAGTATGTGTCTGAGGCCAGATTTGAACTTGGGAAGATGAGTTCTTGACTCCAGGCCTGGCGATGTATCCACTGCACCATCTAACTTCCCCAGTAAATACACATAACTAAAAGCTAATTAAGCCTGGCTGACTAAATTATATCAAATATTAATCATGGGAGAAAATATATGATTCCTGGTTTATGAGCTACAGAATTAAAACGATCCCAACTATTCAGGCATTAGCCTCTATTTGTCCACCCCTTGGGGACTCAAACTGTCAGTGTGAGTTGGCATTGGGAGAATAGCCCTACAGCACGTGCTACATATGAATATTAAAAAAAATACATGGTAACTTGCAAAGGGAGAGAACGCTAACAATTAGAGTAAATCCAGAAATGTTTCTCTCAGGTGGCATCTGAGCTAAACCTTGAAGGCAGTTAAAAATTCTAAGAGATGGAGCTAAAGAGGAACCACATTCCAAGTGCGATGAGATAGATGACTGAGAGCAGAGATGGCCAATAGAATAGAACCATGGAGGAACAGCTGGCAGGCCGGTGCTATGGGAGAGTAGGTTTTGAGGAGGGCCTCTTAAGGAGTGTAGAAGGATAGGTTGGAGTCAGATTATGGAGTGAAGTGATTTAAACATCTATATGAAGATTTGTATTTTATCCTTAAGATAAACAGGATGAACTCTTGATGAAGGTCTCTTGAAATTTTTAAGAATTTAAGGTAAATAGAACACATTAATTTAGATTTTCATTTTAAGAGGCAAAGAACAGCACAAATTTTGGCATATTTATCATGCTTAAGATAAAGAGGAATATATGGAATATATTGGAATATAATGGAATATTTGGAATATATGATATATATTGGATAGAATATAAGGAAATAATATTTCATCATAAGAAAGGATGGTTATAAGGAATGTAGTAAAAATAAAGATAGGAAGATTTGTCTGTAAGAGCTAAGTAAGAAAAGCGGGAGGACGATATACTCAATGGCTATAATCACATATGTCAAAGCAACACCAAAAGGCAGCTGAACTCAGATTAATTAAAATGGCAGATCTGGATCACTTACCCTTTTATCCTCTTAGTAGAGAAGTGAGGGACGCCAGGGGTGGAATTAAGGTGCTCTGTCACATGTATGAGTGTGTGTCGGGGGGAAAGAGTGAGGTTGTTGATTAATTTTACTTCACTATTAATCTTTGTTACAAGGGAGGTTTCCATGGGGTTGGGGAAATATATGGAGAAATAAATGTGGTGTAAAAAACAAAAAGCATTAATAAAACTTTTTTTTAAAGTGAAGCTCCTATAGAGTGAAGCATAAAGTTGCCCATTTCTGCCAATTAGATCGTATCATCTTTATGTTATTTATTTATTTATTTCAGGCAATTGGGATTAAGTGACTTGCCCTGGGTCACACAGCTAGTAAGTGGTCTGAGGTCATATTTGAACTCAGGTCCTCCTGACTTGAGGGCTGGTGCTTTTTCCCCTGCGCCACCTAGCTGCCCCGATTGTATCATTCATCTTTGCAAACCCAGTGCCTAGCACTTTCTTTTTTTCTCTTTTTTAATGTTCCAAACCTGTGATTTCATTACTGTGTGCATTTGTGGAGGGCAGGGGACAGGGTATAGGGAGGAGCAGGAGAGAAGCAGGTGGAATAGAGGGGACTTCTCATATGGACATTCCCTCCAAATCAGATCAGCATTTTCTCTGTCATTTACAATCCTAAAGAACTGCCTTGGGCACTGAGAAGTTAAGAAACATTATCCAGTGGTCAACATGCAGTGCATATCAAAAGCAGGATTTGTACCCAGTTCTTCTGGACTCCAAGACTTGCCTTTTACTCACTATACCTTGCTGCTTTTAATAAACATAGGCATTTGTTGAATTAAACTGCCCAGAGAGAGGGATATCTTATAAAAGACATTGTTTGTCTTCTTATTTTGTGACAAGATTGAAAAATGGTTCAAGACTTCATAGTAGGGAAAACAAAACAAAACAAAACACCCCTCTCTCCTTCCCTTTAATGTTTGGCTAGGTTGATCGATCTCTCCCCCCTTTCTTCTCCCCCTCCCCTCTCCTCTGCCCCCTTTCCCTAGCCATAGAAATTAGTTCATTACTGACCTCTGGTAAAGTATCAAGTAATACTTTCTCCTCTAACATGTTGGCAAACAAGAACATAAAGTTTTTGACACAGAATTGTACTTTCTGAAATTCAGAAATTGTGAAAATTCCTAGAAGTAGATGCAGCATTTCTATACATCTCACTTGCTATACTATTTCAGATTGTGTATAGCATTCCCAAAGTTGTATAAATAATTTTAGTGCAAATATGGACACTTGTACTAATCTTAGTCAACTACTTAGGGTGACATTATCAGTTATTTTTCCAGCTCTAAGAGTCTAAGAGCGAAACTGGCATAGATTCACAAAAAAATAAACTACATCCTTCACTTAACAGATTTCAGATTGTCTTTGCACCCCACCCCACTTTCTCTTCTATATCCAATTAATTTTCTAGGTCATCAGTGGACCTATTCTCTTTAATTTTTGTTTTTTTCTTTGACTATACTCAACACCCATCTACTACTTTAGTTCATCAGGGATCATCATATACATGCATTCACTGCATGCAGGCCTGGAATATAACGCCCATGGTTTTCAGGGATCTAGCACACACTACCAAGTTTTATGTGGAAGGACTGGAAGTCCTATGAGCTGGACATATAACGAACTCTTACACCAAGAAATGGAATTTCCTGAAAGACTAATGCAGAATACATCTGGGTTAATATAAAAATTTCCAAAGTGCCTGATGTAACTATTTCTCACTGTAAAATGATGATAATGGGAAAGTAAGAATTAAGGAAAAACAAACTACAGATTGCTGCTGCAACACTTGTATGCAAGTATACCCCCTTTTAGGGAAATGCACTAAGCTAGGCACCATCCATAAAACTAAAAGCAAAATTAAGTTGTGCAAGTTTTTTAAAATACATCTTCACAGCTACATGCTATTGAGTGGATAAAACATAAGCAAAGCAATTACTACTTAGCAGTTAAAGATCTTACCCAGCACAGATGAATTTTCTTTGAATGTTGCTATGTGGAATTAAATCTAATTATTCTTTTTTTTTCTATAGCCTTACCTTTGTGATAGTGAACAGGTAGACCCTTCCTTCCTCTTTCTTAAGGTCATTCATGAACATTGGTGCCCCCACCAAAAGCACATCTGTAATAGTATCTCTATTTACGTCAACAGAACACACCACACTGCCAAAATAGGAGCCAATCTGGAATGAAACACATGGATATTCAGATTCTGACCTTCATATGCTACTTTTACTCATCTATGGATTGAGACGCTTCCTTATCCTAGCACCTTTAAATTCTGGCTATGTGTGCACTATCCCTGCTAATAAGCATCAGGGTGCTGGAAAGGAGATGCCTTGTCTATAAGGCCGTCTAGCATCATTTCTAGTGTGTCCAGATTTACTGTGTTTCTATTCCTAGCTGGAAGCATGAATGCTTGCACTTAAATAACTCCCCATATAGAAAACTGGAACATTTTTAGGCTGGGTTTTAAGAACAACCAAAAAAAAATCTATCCTTAAAATTATAGAAGACATACAACTTTGCAAAAAATTCTTTCATTACTTCCCTCATTTTAACCTCCTGAGATGCAATATTATACAGTGGTTAAAGAACTGTCTTGGAAGTCAGGAAGCTGGTTTCCAACCTCGTATAAGACATTCACTAGCTATGTAACTGTGGGCAAGTTATTTAACCTCTCTGGGTCTCAGTTTCCTAATCTGGAAAACGAGGAGGTTAGAATCAGTGACTCATAAGACGGTATAAAATCTATGATCCCATGACCTGGCAAAGCCCTCCCTCACCCAGGGAATATGACCTTGGTAGTGTCCCTGCTGCTGTCACACTGGTCATGTGTAAACACGAGTCTGTGAAGCCAAAGCACCACAGACTTAGGTCACCAATCAAAATGAGGGGACTTACCTGGTCACCTCTGTGAGACTGAATGATTGTGGCATTACCATCAGCATCAACACTATACATTACTACTTGGCCCGTATAATCTGCCCGGGGAGCACCCGCAACAAAATGGACACTGTTACCATTAGAAATAACTGCAACAGAATATCCTAGGAAAGAAAAAGGGCAAACACTCAGTAAACCCAGCAAAATAAATAGGGCGTTGGGCTAGAGGACAGGCCTCCAAGATTCTTTCCAGTTCTAAATATAAGATCCTATGATTAACTTTGTATATATTTTATGGTTTTATTTACATTAATATTATTTGTTAATAAGATTAATAGTGTAATAATGTTTACAGTAATGTGTTTTTATTATGTATATTTACTTATATGTGCACATGTTGTTTGGCTGTTAGATTATTTCAGGGCAGTGACCCTGATATAGAGATTTTTGTATCTCTAACAGGTAGCATAACACCTAAGATATTGGAACCTACAGTGAGGTTACACTGGGGATAGTCTTGGAACTGGAGTCAGGTAGACCTGTGTTCAAATCCAGCTTCAGATACTAAGCAGCTTTTTGCCCTGGTTGGGCAAGGCACTTAACCTCTGTTTCAATTTCTTCATCTGTGAAACAGGGATATTGATACTATCTACCTCCCAGACAAAATGCAATAATAATTGTAAAGCACTTAGCAAACATTAAAACATTATATAAATGCTAGCTAGCCAAAAGTAGTGAGTAGATACATTTGTTGACTGCAGAATATTTTAAAAGATAATGTATGTGAAGACAATGACAAAGCAAACCATTAGGCATCCAGTTTTGATCAATCATTTAAATTTATTTATCAAAATTGGACAATGTTTAGTTATAGCACAAGGTTACCAGAAGTCTGGACTTTATTGTAGATGGAAAGTTTGCCTCCACATTTTCTAGGTCAAGTTGAAGTTCATTTATTGTCCATCTGGAAGAATTTCCCATCTATCTATGCCTAATAAACCAGACATCCAGATTTGGGCCAAATTGAACTGATTTCAACTTCTCAGCATGCTATCCCCTACCCTGGAAAACGTTCTCTCATCTCTACAAAATTTCATGTCTCTAATCTTCGTAAAAACTGGTTCCTTTCCTGATAAACTCTACGCTCTCATGTTATTTGCATGTTAATTGTAAAATATATTCCTTCCTTCTCTGAACCTGCATTTATAGGCTTTCTATGTGTTCCTAGGCAAGTTCATTAATATGCCTTGTTTGCATAATGGATGCATTATCATTGACAGACAGGTGGTTTTAAAGCAAAACTAACAAGTAATGACTTCTGGAAATTTCTTCCAGTCTTAGGAGTCTATGAAATTGACTTAACATGAAGTAAAAGAGTGAGACTGAATGGACTTAAAATGAATCTCCCCCAAACTGTGAGACACTAGAAAAGGTTGTTGGTGAGGGGAAGGGAAGGGTAGTAGTACAGAGATAGAAGATTTTTGGATTCATCTTCCTAGAATGGTATCTGTGCAGATAGATTGGGTGATCTGTGCCAGGAACTCACTGCACTGAAAGTTAGGAACTCCATTAGAAAGAACCTGGCATCTACTAATTTTTCAGTAAAATGAACATGATAGAATTCCCCCAACTGGCACTTTGACTTGAATTCCCGCATAACCAAAAGCTTATGATTTTACAACAAGCAATTAAAGATGCTTAGAATTGTGTCAGGTGTCTGAGAGAAAAACAAATAGTATATGACCTCCATTCACTAAGTAACGTATATGTGTGTGTGTGTGTGTGTGTGTGTGTGTGCATGTGTGTGTGTGTATGTATGAGAGAGAGAGAGAAAGCCAGAGAGAGACAGAGAGAAAGAGAGACAGATAGGCAGACAGACACTGAGAGACAGAGAGAAACAGAGAGAGAGACACAGAGAGACAGACAGAGAGACAGAGACAGACAGACAGAGAGATGAATAAACATCAGGTATCAAAAAGGAAAACACTTATAAAAGGCATTTCAAACAGGAGAAATAAAAAATGAAGAGCCAGGAAATTGCATGGTATAGCGGAATGAACGCTGTCTCTTGAGTCAGAGAACCTGGGTTCATATCCTACTTCTGGCACTTACTACATGTGGGCAAAGCCACATAATCTCCTCACTCCTATTAACCTATAAAATGAGGCAGTTCAACTAGATGACCCCTGAAGTATGTCTCCCCTCCCCTCTCTCTCCAGTTGTAGGTCCACATGCCCATGAAATGACTCTGATATACATATTATAAGGAAAACAAAAGAATTCTTATAGGCAAAAAAGATTTTGTTGAGACCAGGGGGAATGTTCCAGATACCATGCATATTTTAAGTATCCAAAAATCATGACTAATTTCCTAAGGGTAATTTGTACTAAACAATAGATTACTAGGAAAAGAATAAAGTCTAGGTGAGGATTTGTTCACAATGAATATTTACAATAAGAAGAAATGTGTCAAATAATTTTTAAAAAAGTAAAAATCTTATCACAACAATCCAAAGGGATACACGCAAATAGATTAAAAGAAGCTTCATCTAAACACAGAGTCCTGGGGAGCTAAATTCTTGCCAGATGACAATCAAGAAAAGGTAGCTCTAATGGGTTTGGGAGCACTCATTACCTGACCATGAGGATGTTTGTACTAGGTAGTGGAAGGCTGCCAAGAAAGTCTGCCAGAAATTTTCTGGACTCACAGTACCAAGAACACACTCACTGGGTAGACACCACTAGAGAAGGTTGTTTAGGAAGATGGAATTGACTAGGTGTCTTTCAGCACTTACCTTAGAAGCTTCTGGCTGAGACCACAGAAAAAAGTAGGTCATATATGGGTATAAAATGAATACATTAAAAGGGAGGAATAGGTCCTTCCACCTCAGGTCCTCTAATATGAACACCCATGGGGGCAAAAAGCACAAGAACTCCATGACATTATATGGATATTACCCACTCTAATCATTGCCAGGGATGATTTCTTCCATCTTAGGAGGTGAAAAGCAACAATACACTCACGATCCTAATGTTCCAGCAGCTCCTGAAAGTTTTGGGGTCCTATAACAATATTCCAGGGCAGCTAGGTGGCTCAGTGGATAGAGCACCAGGCCTGGAGTAAGGAAGACCTGAGTTCCAATCTGGCCTTAGATGCTATATGACCCTGGGCAAGTCACTTAACCCTATTTGCCTCAGTTTCCTCATCTGTAAAATGAGCTAGAGAAGACAACAGCAAACCACTCCAGCATCTCTGCCAAAAAAAAAACACAAAATGGGCTGACAAAGAGTTAGACATGACTGAAAACAACTGAAAATGACAAGACAATATTCTATCATCTTATAGTGAGGTACAATCTGAAAGTCTGGAAGACCTAGGTTCATAGTTTCTCATAGACTGGTTGTATTTAACCAGGGGTGTTGTGAGGCTCAAATGAATGCATGTAAAGTACTTTACAAACTTTAAGGTGTTACATATATGTCTATCATTATTATTATTATTAGTCTATAGTTACCAGGCCTCTATTTTGGTGATAACTTCATTCAGGAGAGCTTTCTGCACTCCTGATAAGCTTGAGCAAGGTTTATAGAGCAATACAGGGGTGTGCTAGTAAACATTTAACCACTGGGCTCTCTGGGGGATTATGCAATTTATTTTAAGTTTAATCTGCAATCAATCTGCACCAGACAATCAACAAAAATAAATTAAGCCCTGTTTTGTAGTGATTTTCTGAGGTGTAAATGCTCACACTGAAAAGTGAATCATCTGATCCCAAGCCAGTTAGAGCAGACTATAGCACACACCTGTGTGTGATCTGAGTAAATTAATTAACCTCTCTTGGTACACTATGCAAATGTTTTAGATTCTAAATTGCAGAATAGTTGTCAATTTGCATTTGTGGAGGAAGTCTCCTCACTAGGATTTCAAATGGATTGACTGCCTCCCCAACAGTATGCCCCATTCCTTCAAATTGTTTATAATCTAATGTATAAAGCCAAACTGTTAGATAAGAGATGCATAGATAAATACAGTGATCAAAAGTAAAGTTGACAAATCATTGGAGATTGTTATTATGTGGGCCAATGAGTTAATTTAGGAAAAGTTTTGTGGAAGAGTAAGTCAAAATGGTGGAACAGTTAGCAGGTGAACTAGCTAAGGGTAACAAGAAAACAATTTCACGATACTTTTAGATTTCCTGGGGCCAAATAATTCTATATCTTACCTAAATATGAACTGTGGTTTCTGTCTTGCAGAACTTTTTCAAAGGCTTGTCTGGGGAAGATGGAATATCCATGGGGTGTCTGCTGGACTACTGTTCCACTCCAGGCATATGCCCCTACTGCACCCAGTGCCAGAGCACCCTTTAAATGATTGTAAAATGAAGATTAATAATAAAGTTCACTTATAAAACACAGGTTAGGTGAATCATTAAGCTAAACTATGTCTGAATTCAACAGAAAATGTTTAACATAATAACATCCCACATAAGGTCATGGTTACATAGTCAGTGGAATGTCTTTGTAACATTTGTGTTGGAAAACAAGCCTAAACATTCTTGTTAAAGGTAAGCCAAGTTATGTGAAACTTTTAGTATACATGAACAAGTTTTAGGGAACAGGTCAGACCTATTATATAAGTAAGTTCACAATAATAAGCTATTTTCTAAGGGGACACTCCCTCCATTCACCAAGGATTTGTTCCAACATTCCCCAGGAATACAGAATTCTGCAAATATAGAATCCTCATGAATAAGGTGGGTGGGGAGGCTGGATGTTAAGTCTTAGTTCTCACATAAAAAAAAAAGCATGTTGTGAGACAACCTCACAAAATGAAGTGTAGTTGGTAAAGAGGGCAAAGATATGATGGTCTTACTACCTCACCTATCTCCCAAGTAGATCATTTTCTTAACTGGTATTTGACTTAACTATCATGCCAATACTTCTTCCCAGCAGACTTTTATTAAATGAAGCTACCAAAGATACCTCCAGCTGTGATGTTCTACCTAATAAATACACAAATCATGGGTCATGAGGAGAGGACTTAGGTTGTCATGTACACACTGTCAATTTTCCAATCTATGAATTTATAATCATCAAATGGGGAAGTCTTTACATACCTTGTTTTAAAGCTTACCATCTCTAATTTTAACCTTAACAATAAACATAAAATCTAGAAATATATTATTTTTACTCCCAAACTCAAGTTAACTCCAAGTGATAACTAGGAAACCCAGTCGTACCATTCTAAGGGAGTAAGCTAGAGTGAGAGGGTGGTAGGATGAGATGGGTTTAAAGAATTGCTGGCCCATGCTTCCTTCAGAAAGAACTGTTGTTTTGGGGCAGCTAGGTGGCGCAGTGGATAGAGCACTGGCCCTGGATTCAGGAGTTCCTGAGTTCAAATCTGGCCTCAGACACATAACACTATCTGTGTGATCCTGGACAAGTCACTTAACCTCACTGCCTAGCCACCTCCCCCCAAAAAAAACCCTGTTGTTTTGACCCTTGTGAGTGTTTCATGCCATAGACATTATGCAGTAGATCCTGTTACTTTCCCCTTCCTCACTTCCCCTTCCCCCAGCCCCATCTAACTGGAACAGAGAGGACGTGAATAAGCTAAGTATCCAACAGCAATTCCCTAGGCCAAATACTGCAGTGCCAAGACCTAAGTAGGGAGAGTTATGTCTAGCTTGCTGAATTCTTTCAAAGGTTTATCAAAGGAAGGGCCTCACATACTGATGAGAATGAAATATTGAGGCAGAGCTGAGCAAAGAGAAAGGAACAACTGGGGAGCCTTTTGGCTCTAAGATCAGCACTACCAGCCTGAGCAGGCTTCAATTTGTTTTTAACTCTTGGCCTTTACGAACTCATTTCTACTTTATGCCTTAGAAAAACACTACAGAGCTCAGAACTTGATGACAGGGATAGCTGGACTTTATGTTTTTAATACATTTTCCAAATTATTTATTAGGTGATCCTGATTTCTATTTCATAAGAAATTCTAATTACTTGAATGAGAAATGATATGAATGCTCCAAAGTGCTTGAGAGATTTTCACATATATAAATAATCATATTGTTTTTTCACATCAAGTCCTTGTGATGGGGGGGGAGGAAGCTATTGTCACATTCCACCTTTGATAGGTGGCAACAGAGCAAGCTGATTAAAAAGATTTTATCCAGAAATCAGAATTCCCTACTCATAAACTTCCATCACTGTGGATTGGTGCAGCCATTGTCAGAATGATAAAGCTCTCTATCAATTTTTAACCAAAAACAAACCAACCAGAAGAGTTTGATGACAGAGGTCTTTGAATATACTTACATTTTGAGGAGAGTAATCTGCACTGAACCCCACTTGTGACATTTCCATTTGAAAGTTATCACCTCCTTGAACAGTACCTGCAAAATTAATATTTTTTTAAATTGATATTTATGTCATCAATTTGGAGGGCAACTTATAATGGGGGGGGGAAGGAGAGGGAGAACCGGTATTTTCATCAGGATAAAGAACTTAAATGCGAAAATTCCTTCCACCAGTGCAAAAAAGCAACCAGTCTGTTGCCTGGAGCACTGAGAGAATGAACAATTTGCCAAGGATCATACAGCACATTTGTGTCAGGGGCAGGACTTGAACCCAGGGCTTCCTGACTCCAAAGTCTGACTCTTTCCACTTCATTAAGCCATATTACCTTGCTTAAGTTTTATATTCACGAAAAAGACATGAGAAATTTCTAGATTTTTGAATCAGTAAGATAATTGAAATCCCCTATTAGAATAGAAGAAAAAGAGATCTTTGAATTCCAAAGTGTTTTTGGAGATTCATAAATATTGATTTAGCATTGCTAAATTTCTTGGATCAAGAATGAAGTTCTCATTAGTTTCAAAGGGAACTCAAGTAAGATGAAGAATGATGAAAAGCAAAGTCATGATTTTTGTCATTCATCACTTTAGTATGTGGGTGGGAAAGATCAAAATTTTCAGCTGTAGAATACTGTTTGTTTAATCATTTTTTCTAATCATCTCTGACTCTTCACAACCCCATTTGGAGTTTTCTTGGCAAAGATGCTGGAGTGGTTTGCCATCTTTTTCTCCAGATCATTTTACAGATGAGGAAACTGAGGCAAACAGGGTTAAGTGACTTGTTTAGGGTCACACAGCTAGTGAGTGTCTAAGGCCAAATTTGAATTCAGGAAGATGAGTCTTCCTAACTCCAGGCCCAGGCCCCTGTGCACTATGATGCCACCTAGCTTCCCATTAATGGTAAATGTTAATACATTGTTAAAGCTGAATAAGTTATTAAAGCTCAAAACTGAATTAAGATTTTTGAGACACCCTTTATATGGGGTTGGTCAGCTAGTATCTTTATTTGTAACTCTAAAAGCTGCTAAGAGGTGCTTGGGGTTAAACATTAGAAACTGGGATTCAAGTTCATGCCAATCTACCAATTCAGAAATATCTACCCACAAACTGTCATTAATAACACAATACTACATCAATGCTGGTTCTTCATGCATCATGATCAATAACAGTTTCCATAAGCTTTGGACATGGATTTAAGTAGACCAATGAATTCATCTATGCGAGTACTTGCTCTAAAAGTGCATACTGAAACCTACACATTCATTCTTTGAAACCTCTGTCCATGTTCAATCAACTCAGTATACTAGAGGATTCCTTCTCTATCTCCTATGGGCAGCAATGTAACATCTGTATGTTATTCCTTCATCTCACTATGTAGATGGCATACCTTCTCTTATCACCATATATTTTCTGGAACTTAAATTTAAGCCACTTCTTGTACACAAGTCATTACTGTTGCACTCATTATGTCTATCATACATTTCTTCATTGATCTTTGGGTCAGCTACAATTTAGATTCTTTTGGAGTATTTGGTATTAGAATTCTTTAGAGTAAAATTCACATTTGTATAGCATCACTGAAAGAATAGTAGTGTTTAAAATATGGATTTCTCTTTTAGGGAGCAATTTGGGAATCACTGAAAATGTTAAGTCATACCCCAAATGCGATCCAGCTTCTTCAATTCTGGGCTCAGTTTACTGTCAATATGCAAGGCTTGAAAATAAGATCTATGTTCTGAAAGACTTAGTGGGATGACTATCTACCTGTACCTTATAATCTGGACAAAGTCATTCTTCATCCATTTACTTTTCCCTATGTGGACTGTTGGCCAACTCTTGTAAGTTGTTTTCTAGCTAGTTAAGGAGTCTGTGTAGTATTCTGGGACTTGACACAATCAGCATAACTTCTGCAAGCAGAACACATGAAGGAATTCACTACTTAAAAGATATCCCTCTTTCCTTGAGCCTCTACTCAGGACCTTTTCTGAGGCAAAGATGAACATCTTTGGAGAGCATATGTGTCTCTGTTTTATGCTTCAATTGATGATGATAATCAGAGAATCAATACATGAAGTGCAGTGCACTTCACTGCATTACTCCTATAGCTTGTAGTACTAAGGAATCTTGTTTGATTTTAACATACATGGGAGGCACCTGGTAAGAGGAGAACCTTAATGCATTGTGCCCTACCAAGTCAAATGCTTTGTTATAATCAATGAACAAAAAATAGCAGAATCCTATATAGTTTACATCCTTTAGGCAATTGTGTGCTAGTAAAGATGTGGTCTGCTGTAAGAAATTATATGTGAAAACCTACCTGTTCTTTTCTCATATTTTCAGTAAATATATTTTTGAATGAGGGATAGATTAATCTTATAAAGATTTTATAGAGATGAGAAAATGGCCTTTGGGAAAAAAAATCTTTGAGTGCCATTCTAAAACAATCAACTTGCCTTTGTCACATATCTTATCACAATCCATTATTTTATCTAAAATATGTCAAACTCCATAATAAAATATACTGCCTACAATAGGAAGCAATTTATATAGTATGAGTCTAATTAATTCCTGATTATGTAAATTTATGGTAGATAGAAGAGAACAGTGCCACAGAAAGCCCACACATGCAAATAATCCCTAAATCATTTCTATGTATCTTTGGAATTTATCTTGGGATTGTCATCTCCATCATCTCAAAAGACTTAACACTGGCCTAGAGAGGCAGAAGGAGTTGTCTTTTTACATAAAGATAGATGGCCTAATGGTTAGAGTAGTAGACTGGAAATCAGGTTTTTTTGTTTGTTTTTGTTCTTTTGGGTTTTTTTTTGGGGGGGGAGTGAGGATCAGGTGAGATATTATGTATAAAGTGCTTTGTGCCATATAAATGTTAGTTATTATGATTGTCATTGACACTCTGTTATTTAGAATTTGGCAGCTAAGTGGTTGAGAGGGCTAGTCCTGGAGTAAGGAAAACCTGAGTTCAAATCTGACCTCAGATACTTACTAGCTGTGTGACCCTGGGCAAGTTACTTAACCCTGTTTGTCTCAGTTTCCTCATCTGTAAAATGAGGTAGAGAAGTAAATGCATCTTTGCAAAGAAAACCCCAAATGGGGTCACAAGGAGTAGGACATGGCTGAAAGATGTCTAAGCAAAACTAAATAATTTAGAATTTGCTGTGGATAAATATGAAATTAAGAGCTGATTGTAGGAAATTATATGGATTTCATTTGCCCCTCCATGTACTTTCTAGGGGGCTTCAAAAATAACCATAGAAAAGAACCTTATAAAAAAAAGAACCTTAGTGTCATGCTCTAATTACCACTGATTTGAATGTCTTTATTGCCTGAAACTTAGAATGGATATATTTAACCATGAAATTGTACGGAGAAGATATTTGGAAACATCACCATACCTTCAATGCTGAAAATACGCTCTCCCAATGTCCCAGCCTTTTCCAAGAGTGCATCTTCATCAGAAACATTGAAAAAATATCTCTCTGTTGGAGTACTAGCAATTGCTTTGATCTCTTTTATTAAATTTTTTGTGTCAAGTGCATTTCTATTTAAGTATCCAAGCACCTAGATAAAAGTTTGAGGGAAAAAGAAAAAGTGGTGATCTCCGAATTCCAACTGTCCTCTACAAACATCCAGAGCAACCTGTGAACTTTTTTGACATCTCTCAATAAACAAGTGAATCAAAGCACATCTCTAGCTCCACCCTCTGCCCCTTTGACAGTAATGAAACTTGGGAAACAGCAAAAATATCTCTTCACAGCACTTTGGCAGATGAGTGAGCTGTTCTTTGGTTTTACTGTCTGTGCTTTCCAATGTTAAACAAGAGAGCTCTTGGTTCTCAAACTACAGAATGAATAGAGCAGTTTTATGTTTATTAAGTAACCATGGCTGCTTCTTTACTTGAAAGGCTTAAAGTACTTTACACACATTAGTTCTCAAAAGGGAAATTGTAAGTGAAGGGCAAGAATTATTACCCCCACTTTGCAAATTTGGAAAACAAGGCAAAGAGAAGACCATTTATTTGTACACAATCAATAAACCAAATAAATGGATGCTTTTAAACTAAGCAAAGTCTCATGGTCCTTTACCAAAATGGACATTAAGATATTCAAAGCACTTATATAATTACCAAATATGAAAGCATAAGGTAAAACTAGGGTAAAAGGATGAACCATATGATGATGAATGAAACGAAAAAATTAGACTTAACTTGGCATATCTATCTTCCATAACCATATGCACATAAATAAGCATAAAGCCAAGAGTGTCCTGTCCCCTTTCCCTTACTCCAAACTCTTCCAAAGTGGTTTATAAGCAATGTAAACACATGGTTTTCCATCTCCTATCTCCATGCCATTGAAATTGTCATCTCCCATGGCTATAATGCACTCTCTCCTCATCTTTTTGCCTCATAGAATCCTATCTACCTTCGGGACTCAGCTGAACCACTACTTTCCACAAAATGTCTTTCCTGATCCCTGAAAGTTTGAGTGTTCTACATACTTAACTACGTTGCATTTAACTACCTTACAATTACAAGGCAGCTAGGTGGTACAGTGGATAGAGTGCCAGACCTGGAGTCAAGGAGACTCTTTGTGAATTTAAATCTAGCTTCAGATACTTATTAGTTGTGTGCCGCTGGGCAAGTACTTAAAACTCTCTGCCTCGTTTTCTTCCTCTATAAAATGAGATGGAGAAGCAGATGGCAAACCACTCCATTACTTTGCCAAGAAAACCCCAAATGGGGTCATGAAGAGTTGGACATGACCAAACAACAACAATACCTTCACCTTACAATTATTTTGTGTTATTGACTGACAGATTGACTGAATATCCAGATGGTCCTCTATTTCAAATACCTGGCTTAAAAATGACTAGAGCTTGTGCTCATTTCCAGTTGCTACAGCCCTCACCAAGCCCCTTCCTTGTCAAAGCCTTGTACTCACCCTGTATAGCCTGGGCAGTCTCCCCCATGCCCTCACTGGAGCTCTCCTATTAGGAGGGAGAACAACAAAGGAAGCCCAAATACATATTCCCATAGGAACAATATTAAAAGATATGGTTTGGTTCTCTTACTATTTAATTTCCATTGTATTATAGATTAACTAGGGAAAATACATCCTCTCATACTAACATTGTTTCTAAGGAAAAATATATTCCAAGCTTCAAATAAAAAACTTCCATGATTGTCATCATGCTTTATGATTGCTTATAGCAGTCTTCTTTAAGAAGCAATTTAAAAATTAAATATAATATTTTGTATTTCCCCAATTACATGTTTAAAACAACTTTTTAACATCTTTTTAAAAAGTTTTGAGTTCCAAATTCTATCTCTCCCTTCCTCTCCTTCCCCCTCCCTGAGACGGCAAGCAATTCAATATAGGTTATACATGTGCAATCATGTAAAACTTTTACATATTAATCATTTTGTACAAGAAGACTCAAGTAAAAAGGAAGAAAGAAAGGATAGCATGGTTCATTCCATATTTAATCCATATCAGTTCTTTCTCTGGACGTGGATAGCATGCTTTATCATTAGTCCTTTGGGAATGTCTTGGATCATATTTGAGAATAACTAAGTCATTCACAGTTCTTCATTGTACAATATCACTGTTACTGTGTACAATGTTCTCCTGGTTTTGCTCACTTTACTTTGTATCAATTCATGTAAGTCTTTGCAGTTTTTTCTGAAATCATCCTGCCTGCCATTTTTAATAGCATAATAATATTCCATCACAATCATAGCCATTCCTCAATTAATTCTTAGCCTCAATCTCCAATTCTTAGCCACCACAAAAAAAAGCTTCTATAAATATTTTTGTACAAATAGATCCTTTTCCCTTTTTTATGTCTTTGGGATATAGACCTAGCAGTGACATTGCCAAAGGTATGCACAGTTTTATAGCCCTTTGGGCATAGTTCCAAATTGCTCTCCACAATGGTTGGATCAGTTCACAAATAAGGAGCATTTTTTTTTAAGGAAGAATGTGAAGAAGGTCTAATCCTACACATTGATGTTGAAAAAAACATCAATGAGTAGAAGGGACCATGAAGGTTTTAATGTTTATTCAATGTTGCTGGGACAGAAAGACTTTTGAATAAAACTCTGTTGATCCTGTGAACAAGCATGTTGAAATACTGGTGATTTTTCTAAAAAGAATTAAGAATCAACTACAATGTTCAACAATTCGGTGAAAGTAAAAGAGAATCATAAAATTTTAGAGTTGAATAGGGCATTTAAAAAAAAATTACTTACTGCTATGCCGAATCTAAGTATGTTGTCGTCATTGCATTGACCAATAACTTTTTTCAACATTGAGCCATCATGAGATTCACCATCTGTCACAACCACCATAACTTTGGTAGCACTAGGTCGTCCACCAGAGGCTTCAGAATAAGCAAAATCTCTGGAACCATCAAAACATGAAAAAAGTTAGGCAAAAAGAGATCTAGTATGTAGCCCTGTAGTTTAACCATGAATATATTACTGGATTCTTAGCATACAAACATCTTGAAGCATGATAGCCTTTTCTTTCCAATAGCATTACTGTATGCCCGTGTGTTTTTTGTAAGTATGTGTAGAAAAGTGAAAAAATAGATTATTTTCATAAGTTATTGCTTTTCCTGGACAGTATGGCAGAGTGGAAAGAGCATTGGCCTAGAAGTCAGGAGATCTGGGTTCAAATCTGCCTTTGACATTAGCTATTTGACAATGAACAAATTACTTAAAAGTCTCTGAGCCTCAGTTTCCACATCTGTAAAATGAATATAACACTTGTACTGCCTCTCTCAAGGAGATGTTGTATTTTGTGAACTTTAAAGTGCTATATAAGTGTGAACAATCATTAAACTCACTTATTAAAATACTAATATTATTTTATAATCGTAATCTTTTACAAATGCCAATAAGTTAATTTACACTCATGATAAGGTAAAAAAAACACATTTTCACACAAGATTCCTTAGAATTTTCTTACAAGTAGTATTAGTTTTTAAAAATAAAAAAATATTTATTTTACACTGGATAACTAGTTAAAAGCAACACATATTAAAGATTTTCCAGTGATTAATCTTTCTTATTGATGAAAAAAATCATGTTTCTAATTACAAATGTCAGAAATGACCTTGATAAATACATCCTGGAGCAGACAAAGATTCAATAGAACAGAAATGCCACAGGAAGATGACAAACTCTCAGCCTTACGTAGAGCTCTTTGTATGCCTATTCCTAAATTAATTCAAAAGATGAAGAAGAAAGTTCTGTATGGATCTCAGATACAGAACTTGTCTTCAACATAAAATGAATAAAAACAAGTTCAGTAAAGTCAGTTCAACATCTGATATGACTTTCCTTCTTTAACATAAAACTACTTTGAACAAAAGGAACAAGGCAAACTGACAGGAAGAAATTCGGTTATAAAGATAGGTAAACATCAGTAAGACACCATTATAATTGTTTTGGTCCTAGATAAGACTGACTTTTTAACCAATGAGTACAGAGAGAAATCAAGTTAATGAGATCTAGAACTGCATCAAATTAATTTTAGGCATCCTTCTAAATAGGGCCTCATCTGATTAAAAATACCTTCCTTAGAAATGCAGTTGGCTCCACTAGGAAAAAAAAATCCACAAACATTCAATATGTTACAACTATTTTCTGAAATGATTAATATCTTCAAGAAATAGCTTAATAGTAAAATATTTATCATTCTCCAGAAATTTTATTTACAAAATTATCAAAGAATTTTTTTTCTTCTGGGATATATCTTGTATCATATATTTTGTCACTTCCTTCTGAAATGTAAGCCCCTTTATAACAGGGACCAATGTCTCATCTCTCCTTGTATGGTGCTTTACATATTGCACTATTCTGTTTTGGGGTGGACCTGTGATCATCAGCACGGGAAACTCAGCATGTAGGATTTCCTTTCACTATTCAATTCCTCTGGGGCCGAGAGTCATAGAGAGGTGTCAGATGAATGAAGATGATAAGTAACTTGACTAGGGTCACAGTGGCTAAATAAATCCACTTCTTAGGATCCCTGGCTTCCTTAAAATTCGGTTCAAACACTTACCTCTTCCAGGAGGCCTTTCTGGTCCTGTCCTGTAACACACCCCCCAAGTGCCTAGCCCTCAACAGCTACTCTCCATCTACTCGGTATATACCTTGTATGTAGCACTTTATGTATATGTTCTCTCCCCCATAAGAATACAAGATCCTTTAGAGCAGAGACCGTTATTGCTTTTTCTTTATATCCCTACAGCTTAGCACAGTGTCTGGCACATAGGAAGCGTGTCATAAATACTTGCTGATGGGTTGATTAATAATTTTTTAAAAAATTGAAACAGTTAAATTGTAAGCTTCTTGAAATTGGGGCTATATCTTATTCAGACTTATGTCCCTTACTGATCATAGCAAAATTGTTAATAGGAGATGTTCAGGAAGTACTTTTTAAATAAAGGAATGAATGGCCACACCGCCTGAAAAAGCATGACACTGCAACCTCATTTATTTGTTTATTTTGTCCAGATCTGAGACTTCAACTTGTGGGAAATTCCCTGGCGTGGAAATTCCCCCTTCAATGCTTATCTATGGCAATCTCTAAGTTTCAGGTCTTAGAGAAAGGTCTGAGAGACTAAGAGGTTAAGAAACTTGTGCAGGGTCACTCACTTAAATTCAAGCTAAATGGAAGACTTGAACACATGCCTTCTTCACTATAAGGTTGGTCCTATCTCCCCACAATTTTATTAGATATCCTAAATACACAGACAAAAGGAGAAAAGGGAAATGAAGTTGAAGTCAGATGATCGCCAGACATAGTAGAATATCCTCTAATTTGTTGATGAGTAGGATCAAGAAACTAATGATAATCAGTCAATAAGTATTTATTAAATGCCTACTGTGTGCCAGGCACTGTGCTGAGCCATCAAGATACAAAGAAAGGCAAAAGACAAAAGACTGATTCCTTCTCTCAGAGAGTTCACAGTCTAATGGAAGAGACAATGTGAAAAGAAAGACATGTGAACAAAATAAATATAGGTTAAAATGTAGATAATCAACAGAGGGAAGGCACTAGCCTTAAAGGAGATCAGAAAGGCTTCTTCTAGAAGATGAAATTTTACTTTGGCCGTGAAGGATGAGGAGTTTAAAAAGACCTCTGAATTTGGTGATTGGGAGGTTACTGTTAACATTCAAAAGCGTAGTTTCCTACAGAACTTATCCTTGGGACTGAAAGTTGTACCCCAAAGAGGTTTTTGTTTCAGCAGCTAAGGAGTGACTAGGTCCTAGAGAAATGGAATAAATCAATACGGATAACTTTTTCCAAGAGGTTTGGCTATAAAAAGAAGGTGAAAAATAGGACAGTAATTTGAAACTTTAGAAGGGAATAAAGAGGGATATTATAACCTTGAAAGGGTTTTGGGTAGAGCAGAAAAAGAAACAATGGAGAAGAAGAAAGAAAAGATAATTGATTAAGGAGCATTACACAGGATGGGGTACAGGGACCGAATGACTTTTAAAGGCAATTGAAAGTGTCACTGAAATGACAAATAATGAGAGTCTAAAAAGGATAGAGAAGCAAATGAAGCTAAGAAGAAAAGGGATGAGGAGAAGGGGCTGAATAGGAAGGTGGAAAAAAGTAGATTTTCTGACGTGGCTAAGAAGCATCACCAGATGGAGATGGAAAGGCACAAGGCAGTCAGAGAATTTCTTAAGTCCAAGGTATTGGCAATGGATGGCCGCTGGACCCAAAAAGATTAAGGAATCTGCCAGTCTGGGGCATTAGAAGGGTTTTATATGTGGGTATGCAATTTATACATACTTGATGAATTCTAAAGCACTTGGCAACAAGCAACAATAATGATAATCCCCAAGAGTAGTAAATTAACAGATGTTAACCAAAACAAAAACCTTGAGTTGACAGCGGAATCATCAGTGACCCTGATAAGTTACCTCTTTGTATCACTAAACAACGGCATCTATTCTATCTTTAATCAGATTATGGAAAATATCTAATTATAAGTTTGCTTCTCCTCTGTTGTTTTAATTATACTATTCATGGCCCTTTCAATTTTAATAAGCCCCTTGAGTAGAACATTTTTAAAAAATGGGTTTAAAAAACCCATTAAATCCTCTAAATGTATTCAAACAACTAGTTCCTCATGCTGTGGACTCTACATGTTCCCCTGCAATGTCTACTTCAATACATTACTTTAACCAACTAAGGGTAAAGTATAATGATATTTGTGTTCTAATTTTCCTTTACTGTTTTTCCATTTCTTGGATTACTTTGCTTTTTTGCCTCCAAGAATTAGCCTCCGAGTATCAACCATTTAAATCAATCAATAAACATTTATTCAGCACCTACTATGTCCCAGACACTGTGCTAATTCTAAAAACAACAAAGTGTAAAACAGAGATATAAAGAGGCAGAAGATAGTCCTTGCTCTGGAGAAGCTTACAATCTAATGGGGGAGTCAACATGCAAATAAATATTTAGAAGCAAGCTATATATCGGATAAATAGGAAAACACTAGAATTAAGAGGGATTAGGGAAGGCTTCCTGTAAAAGGTGGGATTTTAATTGGGACTTAAAGAAAGCCAGGGAGGTCAATAGTTAGACCAGAGGAGGGAAAATGTTCCAGGTATGGGAGAGAGCCAGAGCAAATGCAAATGCCTGGACCTGAGAGACAGAATGTCTTGTTTATGGAATAGCCAGGAGGCTATTGTCACTGGATGAAAGAGTATATGGAAGGGAATCAGGTGTAAGAAGACTGGAAAGGTGGAAGAGGATTAGTTTATGAAGGACTCTGAATTCCAAACAGAACATTTTACTTTGCTCCTGGAGGCAATAGAGGAGTTAATTGAATAGGATGGTGGTTGGTGATGTGACTAGACCAACGTTTTAGGAAAATCACTTTGGTGGCTCAATGGAAGATGGACTGGAACGGGGAAAGATGAGGCAAGTGGACCCATCATTAGGGTATTTCAATAATCAAGGTAAGAGCTGATGAGGGCCTCTACTAGTGTGGTGGCAGTATCAAAGGAAAGGAGGAGGTATATTCCAGAGAAGTTGCAAAGGTGAAATCAGCAGGCCTTGTCAACAGCTTGGATATGGGGTGGTGGGTGGGGAGTTGAGGGGTAAGAGATAGTGAGGACTTCAGGTTGACTCCTACCTGGCAAATTGAATTGCTTTGAAAGTATTAGTGAGATCTCCACCATGCTGGGTTGTTTGGGATGTTGCTTTAACCATTTCTTCTTTTGTTTTAAAAGTACTCATGTTGAATACAACTCGTGGATAATTTCCATACTGAATTAGCCCCACCTTGAAAAAAAATAGAAAGCATATTAAAAGAAGAGAAAATGGAAGTCTTTTGCTAAATTATTATTCCTGTTAAATACAAAATGGCACTTAATGGCACTCTAGGGATAATCTGGGTCTGTGCTTTCATTGGTATATGGAATTTTCAGGTGAGGAAACTCCTTCCATCAATGCAGGTTATCACCTTCTCTGCAACTTAAGGTCTTAGTTGCCTAGAGCATTGAAAGATTAAGTGACTAACCTAGGGTCACCCAGCCAGTGTGTATATTAGGGCAGGATTTGAAGTCAAGCCTTCTTTGTTTCAAAGCCACATCTCTATTATACCATACTCTCTAAAATATCAGTTATTCTATTCTTAATCCAGTATTTGTTTTACTTTAGACAAAGGTTTCTCTCAGAGTCTGTAAGTTCACTGAAGCCGGGTTTGGTCTGGAAAAGTGACAAACTGTGCTTATATATAATGGCACTAGAGAATTTGCAGAAAAAAAAGACTTCTAAAGTGACTGCCTCAAAAAGATAGAGGCCTTTTCATTATGAAAACAAGAAATCTGAGTGGATATCTATCTATGTATATGTACATTTACATATAGAGATATAGATAACAGTCTACACATCATAAAAGGCATGGATATGAAGTACAGAGACCAGTTACTCAAACCACAGAATACTAAAAGGAAAAGCTTCCTCTCAAAATGTCAGTGAATTAGGTTTTATGGCAAATTAAAGGATGTTACTACATTATCCCAAATGATGGATACTGCGGTACAGAAAAAAAAAAAGACTTCCTAGCAAGAGCTTATTAGTTTGAATCATTTCAGCCCCATCTAGCTCTTTGTGATTCCATTTGAGATTTTCTTGGCAAAGATACTGGAATGGTTTGCCATTTCTTCTCCAACTTATTTTACAGATAAGGAACTGAGGCAAACAGGGTTAAGTGACTTGCCCAGGATCATACAGCTAGCAAGTATCTAAGATAGACGGCATATATTATAGATTATAAAATCTCAAAAGTTAAAAGGAAAGAGTCTGTTGAAGGAGAGGGTAGTCAAATATATCAAATGCTATAGAGAGGTCAAGGAGACTGAGTCCTGAATAAAAATTCACCAGATTTAATGATTTGGAGGATAATAGTGATTTTTGAATAATCAGTCTCAGTAGAGTAGTAGTAATGGAAGACAGATTATAAGGATCCGAGGAAAGAGTACGTGATAAGGAAATACAAGCATCGCATACAGACATCTTATTCAAACAGGTCAGCAATGGATAAAAAGAGAAATGGGACAGTAGTCGGTAGAACAAGGGTCAGTGGCAGTCTTTTTTAATACTGAGGAGAGCTGGACACATTTAAATTAAGATGGGGAGAATCTAGTAACAAGGGTGAAACTGGAAATATGTGAGAGGGGATGATTATTGGAGCAAGGTACTGGAGGAAAAAGAAACAAAAGAGACTAAAAACAAATAAATAGTATTAGTTTGAGTAGGGATAAAGATAGCTCTTCCTTTGAGACAGGAGAAAAGTAGAAGAGAGTGGGCTATGATGCTGAGAAATTACTGGAAGAGAAACAGGATGAAGGAGCTCTCTACTAGAGGTTGGTAGTTATTATGGGAGAAGATCATGAGAATAAAACATTGAGGGACTTAAGGAGAAAGAAAAAGTTTTAGAATAATAGCCAATATTTAAAGAGTATTTTAAGGTTTGTAAAGTACTTTACAACATTTATATTTATAATAATTAACTTTAACACTTTAAGGTTTGTAAAACACTTTAATAATGATACAACAACTTTATGTAGTACTTTAAGGTTTGTCAAATGCTTTACAAATATTGTCTCACTTTATCCTTACAACCCTGTTATCATCATTTTTCAGATGAGGAGACTGAGGCAGATGGAGGTTATATGATTTGCCCAGGACCATGTAAAGTAATACAATAATATCATATTGAGCACTCACTATAATAATCTGAGGAGGGACTTGAATTCAGGTTTTCTTGATTACAGGTCCAGCTTTCTATCTACTGCACCATGTAGCTGCTCCACATTTTATCTCATTTGCTATTCACAATATTCTGTGAATATGATACTTTTATTTATTCCATTTGGTACTTTTATTTTTAGTCCCTTTTTACAGAGAACAAAACTGAGACTCAGAGAACTTAAGTGGTTATTCCAGGACCATACAGTCATTAAGTATCTGAGGTAAGATTGGAAACCAGGTCTTTCCTGACTCCAAGCCCCTCACCTGATACATGTTATGCTGCCTCATGGAAGTCATTGTGGAGAATCAATCAGTTCAACAGCTGGTAAAGGTTCAGCTGAGACTATAACCTCAGAAGCCCTATTCAGCATAGAAGGTTAACATTCTTGTTATTTGTGTCCTTACCTGGGTCTTGTCGGGACCTATATCCAGGCCTTGCACAAATTTGACCAAAAAATTCTTCACTGCACTCCAGGGATAAATGCTGTTTGATTCATCACATACAACCACAACATCAATGAAGGATGGGCAGCCTAAAACAGGAAAGGAAGAGAGAGTTAGGTTGGTGGGACAGAGGTCTGCAGAGCTGGGGCAAGTCTTAGGGTCCATAAGTGAGGATAGATTTTAAATAAATTTTGCTATGCCCTCCCTCAAATTTAATTCATTGTTCACAATAGTTGTACTTGAATGCCTTACTCTGAACTGCAGGTGAAAAGCTGTTGAGGAGCTGGAAACTGGGACTAACGTCAGAACAGATGCCAGTCGCATAATACTGATTTCCACACTGCTGGGCCCACAGGGGTCCACATGTCTTCAAAGGAATGAAAACATATCAATATTAAAAGCACTGAAAAACATATCATTTCTTCATATCTTAACACATATCTTAACACAAAAATTACTTCTATTCATTTATGAGATGCCACAGGCCCAGAGATCAGGTAGCTAGAACATTAAAAGTTTCCAATGCAGCAAACAAGAAAAGGTATGTGAGGAAGGAAGCAACTAAAGATTTACTCCACCTCCCTACAGTCTTTCCATCAGCAAAGGGAAGGGTTAGGGTTGGGGTTGTCAGCCTGGGGCACCGAGATGACTCAGGGAATCCAGATGGGCCCAGAAGCAGAAACAGAAAGAAATCTGTCACCTTTCGTGATAGAGCTCCCTTTTTCATCTGCTGCTCAGCCTGGAACAAGAAACTCCTCCATCACTTTTTAACTTACCACCAAGCTGCTAACTCAAACCTTGATTGATACCACCTCTCTCGGCCTCTTCTGCCCTCTATTTGGAGCACTAGAGGGCAAAGTACCAAACTCCTCCCAATGCCTTCCTTTATAGAGGGCAGAATCTGGACTTTTATTCATTCCACTTTGCATTCTACTCTGCCTAGTTTCAACTTCACAGAACAAGAGGCCCCTCCATTCTGGGTACCTCCTGGTGTGTTCCCCAACCTTTCCTGCCTCTTCTTGTATACTGTATACCCCCAATAGATTATAAACTCCTTGAGAGCAGGGACTGTCTTTCTTTTTATTAATTGTATTTCCAGCAATTAGTACAGTGCCTAGTACATCTTAAGTATGAATAAAAGTTTATTGGATTGGATTTATTGGACTGGATTAAAAACCAGATGGATGGCATTTTTAGTAGCCCATGGAGCAGAAGCAAGTAAAAGGTCACTTTTTCATTCCTGGGCCTTTGATACCTGGCACATTCAGCTTAATTGAGAGATGAGAAGCAATGTGTGGTCATTTCAGTATACCTAATTCCTATCTATGCTGTGAACATTTCACGTCAAAGATGGCATAAGATAACAGAATCATAGAGTTAGAGCAGAGGCTTTTTTTTTATTTGGTGTGATGGACCCTTTTCAGTTTGGTGTCACCTATAGAGTTCTTCTTGGAATAATGTTTTAATTTTTAATTTTTTTGCTTTTTGGTGAGGCAATCGGGGGTTAAGTGATTTGCCCAGGGTCACACAGCTAGTTAAGTGTTAAGTGTTTGAGGCCAGATTTGAACTCAGGTCCTCCTGACTCCAAGGCTGGCTCTGTATGCACTGTGCCACCTACCTGCCCCAGAATAATGTTTTTAAATAATTAAAGGAAATGCAAAATTTCAGTTAGAGATTAGTGAAAATATAGATGGAAATTTTTCCCATCCAAGTTCATGGACCCCTTGGAATCTATCCATAGACAACTTGGGTCAGGGGAGAGGTTAAAACCCCTGAGTGAAAGCTAAAAAAAGACCATAGAGGTCATCTAGTCCAAGCACTTTGTATAAAATGAAAAAAACAAAACAAAACTGAGGTCCACAGAGGTTGACTTGATCAAACTAATACATGTAGAAAGCAGTGAACCCAGGTCCTCTGACTCCAAGTCCCATAGAGCACTCTACTATTCTGACCTATACCCTATCAGCTTGTTGGCTAGTGAGCTTTCTGCAAAAGAGTCCATTACCTCCATTTTCTAGGCCCCTATCTTTATTGTTTGCTCTCTGTCAAGCAATAATGTAATATTATATTTTGTCTTCACAATCTCTTCAGGTCTGCCCTAAATCACTGCTCTCTCATTCCTTCACTCTTATCCTATTTACTGCAATTATTACCACATAATTCTTTAACCTGAACTAGCTCCTAATCCCATTCTCTGTGAAGTCTTTGAATTCCAAGGATACCTAACTAAATCATGATGCAATCCAAAAATTTATATGCTACAACTCAGGGAAAAAGCTTTGTTATGTTTGAAAAAGCAAAGCATAGTGGAGAGAGAGCCTTACCTCTGACCTGGCTATGTAACTCTGGGAATTGCCACTTCTCAGAGCGCTAAGGTAACTCTGCAAGAGTAAATTGCAGAACAGTTGCTGATCTTCATTGGTTGAAAGAGTTTCCTCACTGGGAATTCCCTATTCCAATGAATTAATAGATTTGGGCCTTCCCTCCACACCTCCACCAAAAAAATTTCAGAAAATACGCTTAAAAGAGAAAACAAGCAAAGACAAAAAATCCATAAGAAAGCTCTTTAGCCTAATGTAAAAGTATTGGATGGCACTATTAAATAAAAATTGAAGAAAAGATTTCATATTCTTATAAATAGTGAGATGGAGGAAAGTGGAATCATTGGAACCAGTCTTCCTGTTGGTAGCCAAAGGATGACCAATGAAAGAGAAGAGGAAACAGCTGTCTTAACATTTCATGCTCCATGTACGAGATACATTTTTCCTCTTTAAAACTGGCTTACTAGGCCAAGTACATTGGGAAAGCATTCATTTGCCAAACCTTTAAATGGCTTCTAAAATAGCTAATAATGCTTCTTTCTACATCCCTTCTGAACTGCTCAAAAGTTCTTCAGAACTCTCTAACCAAAAAAAAGAGAAATGATTGATTCCTTAGAGGATTAAATATATAAAGAATTATTTAATAATAGATATTCTTTCTTCTTGGAAGAAATGAGAAACAGCATTAAAAAGCTGAAATTGGGAGATGCCATTTGAGAATGTCAAAACTATTGCCCTTACTTTAATATTGGAACTTAAAGTCAAGTCTACAAATCTGATGACTAGTAGTTTTTTCCACATAAATCTTGAGAATGCTTTAAAGATCATAACTTCTTAAGTATTTAAGGAAATGGTTTCCGCACTGGTTCTTTAACATGGCATTTCATTTGCTCCCTGTTTTCATAGCTGTTCAATTCAATCCTCATATCCATTGTTCCCTATCAGGAAGTACAAGTTAGAAATACAAATCTGTGAGGCAAAACTTAGTATCACAGAATTAAAGTGGAATTAAAATACTTTAAACCCTAATACATACCTATTTGTGAACACATTCATTCCTAAAACAATGGTGAAGGTAATGAAGACTCCAAAATATCAGAAGCCGCAAAAAAAATATTGAAGCATACCCCCAAGGTATTCATGAACAGAGGTATCATTTACATTTACCAAGTTCATATTTGATACCTTAATTCATAATATAAAATGCTATCCATCTCCAAATAGAGAAGTGGTGGACTCAGAGTACAGATTGAGACATATTTTTTCCCTTTACTTTTCTTCCTATTTTCCCCCCAGAACATGGCTAATGCAGAAATATGTTTTGCATGACTGCCTATGTATAATGCACATTCTATTTCTTGCCCTCTCAATGAGTGGGGGGAGGGATGAAGGAAGAGAAAAAATATGGAATAAGAAATAAAATTTTAGAAAATATATTTTATATCTTTACTCAGTGGTAATTGGGAAGTAGTGCCAAACAATTATTTTGGCACCATCCAAAGTATAGTTACAACCAAAGCTACAACTTGAGCCCAAGAATCATAAAACATACTGATCTGAGCAAACGTAAAATACTCTCAGATAATGTTACTAGTTACAAAGCTGGTGGGTACCTATTACACATGAAGCTAAGTAAATTTCAAATAAAATTTTGTAGGAAGTGAGTTGTCAAGGGCAAGGCTAGGTAACAATATTTGTCACTTGGGTATCAAAGAAGGAAAGAGATGAGTGTTGTTAAATGCCTACTACATGCAAGGCATGGCACTAAGCATTTTTACCTGGTCAGGTAGGCATTGTTATTCCTATTTTACATTTGAGGAAACTGAGGCAATGTCACACAGCTCATTAAGAGTTTGAGGCCAGATCACAACGTAGGTCTTTCTGACCCTTGGCAAAGCACTCTATGCTCTGTACTACCTAGCTGCCTTAAGATAGTATGAGGAGTTTGATGCCACTTTGCCCCAATCTTAGAGTCAGAGTATGTTAAGACTAGAAGGGATCTTTGAGATCATCTAATCTGACTCCCTAATTTTACAGATGAAGAAGCTGAGATTCTGGAAGATTAAGCAACTTGCCCCAGATCACAAAGAAGCAGGAGTACAATCTAAGACTACTAACTGTAGTCCAGGTTTTTCCCCCCTACTATACCTTGCCTCCTCCCTTCTTTCCCTGAGAATAGAATTTTTAAAATAAGAAACTTTTTTAAAAATTTACCAAAGGTAACAAAACCAACCAAATATCAGCAATTGAAAACTAATCAAATGCATTTGTGTCACAGCAAGTGTTGCAGAATATCATTTAAACAGAGAAAGATATGCTCAGTAATTTTAAAACAAAATATTTGAACTTGGATAGTAACAGAGCTGAATATTCCACTTTAAAAGGAAAAGGCTGCCAAAGTTTCAAATAAAAACAATACTCTGGAAAACAGAGAACTTGATTTACAGACCAGTAATACTCATGAGTTGGCCTCATTTTTGCGTGCAGATCTGTTACTCGAATTAATTTAATTTCCATGTTATTTTTCCCAGTTATCACTAATATGATTTTTCTATAGTCTATTCTGTAAAGTATTAAATATATAACACTATCGGTCTATAAGTAAAACTAACTCAATATTTGGTTGCTAAGAAGTATTTATTTCTAACATATTCTCAAGACTGATAAAGGAAACCTTGGGAATTATCTCCTACTGTTCACTTATCTTTCCGGGACACTCACTGACAAGACATAGGAGTAAGCTGATGCTAATTCTAAAAAAAAAAAATTAATTTAATAACATTAATATTCTAGCAAGCCCAAACATTTTTAGGGAGAAAATGGACTATACTCCAGATTTAAATTGTGCCTCTACATAAATGTTCACATAAACTCTTAAGAAATATTGTCTACACCTTCCATTAAATATAGCAACCTGCCAGTTCAGGAAGTAAATCCTGTGCCAGCTTTCTTCTCTGCATGGGGTAAAAGACATCAGCCCCATTAAATCATAACACAAGAAGACTTCACTCAACTGTAACATCTGAGGGGAAATAACTGGACTGGCCACACCAATGAGGAGAGTCTTACTATCCCTTTAGAAAGCCTCTTTGCTTCTTCAACTTCATGTTTTGGGCTGTGTCTGGTATCCAAAGGAATACAGCAACATCAACAGCTTTTGTATCCACCTTCACCACACTCCTCTTTTCCTCCTGTTCAATCATGTATTTCTCTCTCACATGCTCTCATTCATTCTCTGGTGTATCTTTCTTTCTTTCTCTCTCTCCATCCCTCTCTTGTTCTCTCTTTCCTCTTCTACCTGCCACACGCCCCACACATTCACTTCTTTCACCCTTTTCATTTGAACCTTACGTTATTTTAGCTAAGAGTAAGGTGATGACTCACCCTTTAACATTTCTTTAAATCTTTTTCTGTTTTCCCTAAATGTTAGTAGTTATATCCTCTAGCCATCATTCAACTCATCATTTCTTTTTACTCTTCCTTTCAGTGACTCAAAGGATTAAATAATCCCTCTATTTTCTTTTGTTTAGTATCAAGGGTTTGACTGTGTGCAGCAGTCTTCATGAGCAGCAATTCTAAATAATTACTGTATATGGATATAAGTGATCCTCTTTATTCCAATGCCCACAAGCACTAGGAAGAGACAGTAGACTTAGAGTGGGAAGACAGGTGGCTTTTGCCAATGAGAAGCCTGTTCATAGCCAATGACGTAGGATGGTTTGGATTGGTCAGTATTCCTATTAGCAATGTTTAAAACAGTAGAATAAATACCCTAACTACAGTCATGGACAAAACCATGAGAAATGCTTTCACCAATCAATATTAAATTAGATCACGTCAGAGAACACAAAGCAGATAAAATGAAAAATCTTGGAGTATACTTTCAAAAAGAATAGCACTAACGTCCAAATGTCCTATATGGGCAAGGGGCCCTGGGACTCAAGATGGTAAAGAGTAGGAGAAGGGATTCTATCATTTTCCCAAAATCCTTGAGTCCAATCTGAGTGCTAGGAGGGAATATCACATCATTTTTCCTTCTCTCTACACAGTCTGTCTGGAGTTAGGTTTAGTAATCAGATTGTCTAAATGCCCTGAAATGTTTGGACACTGAACATAGCTATATTCCATTTAACACTTGAAACATGGATAGCATCATGAAAATAAAAAAGGAGACCCTTGGGTGTTTGAATCCTAGAATTTGATCAATAGGAAAACTGACTAAATCACTCCTTTTTAAAAAATGGATGAGGAAATAAAAAGTTGAAACTTACCAGAAACCCTCCAGTTCCCAAGTTCCGTGTGAGTGTCAAGCCAAGACTCATATTTGTTTTTATCTCGGTAACATTTGGAATGCTCGTTACAGCTGTTAAAAGGAAAAATTAACAGAGAGAAACCATTAATTTTCCACCAGTTTTGTTAAAGTCATTTAGAAAACAATTCCAAGACCATTGCCTGACTCCCAGATAGGCTAAAATGGTCATTTCTAGTACCGAATCCAGTACTATACATGCAACAGGCTGGATGCAAGCCAGGTCCAAAAATGAATTTAATGCCTTCCTTGCCTCACCCACCCCATTCCCATTCTCTCTCTCTCTCTCTCTCTCTCTCTCTCTCTCTCTCTCTCTCTCTCTCTCTCTCTCTCTCTTCTCTCTCTCTCTCTCCCCTCCTCCTCCTCCTACTCTTCCTCCTCCTCCTCCTCCTCCTCAACTCTCCAGTCAATTCAGGCTAGAAACCTTGGAATCTTTTTTTTTTGGTTCTTACTTCTCCCTTACACCCTATAGCCAGTGCAAAGTTCTGATGATTATAAATTTCTACAATCTTTCACATCTGTCTCTTTTTTTCTCCCACATTACTCTTCAACCCTAAGAATCCCAGTTCAGAGAAACACACACCTTACTACCTCCACATTAACTGCCTCTAATTCATCTTAGATACTGTTGCCAGATCATTTTCCTAAAGCACAGCTGTGATCATATCATAACTCTATTAAGAAAACTTCCATGGCTCTCCATTGCCTAACAAACAAATGTGGTACTACTAAGTATGGCAATAAATCATTCCACAATCTGGCCCCAAATACTTCTCCAGTCTTATGATTCTCATTCATGAACCTTATGTGACAGCCAAAATGGGGTATTTATCCATCTCCAAACTAGCCTGTGTTATGTGTTATGCCTTCATGTCGCTGCTCACAGTTTTCTCCACCCACAACACCCTCTTCAAAAACTCTACCCTTGGGGCAGCTAAGTAGCACAGTAGATAGAGCACCAGCCCTCAGGAGGACCTGAGTTCAAATCTGGCATCAAACACATATATTTCCTAGCTGTGTGACTCTGGGCAAGTCACTTAACCCCCAATTGCCTCACTAAAAACAAAACAAAAAACTCTACCCTGAAAGTAACACCCTTCTTCTGAGCTCCTATATGCATTTAGCAATTCACACCTTATCTCTCCCATTAGACTACATCTAAGTATCTCAAGGGCTGAGAAGTAAACAATTGTTTAAGATGAAGGTATCAGAAAATGGGATGCGGATTTGTGTTCCAGAGCTAAAGATACATACGTATGTATGTATGTTCACATAAATATATCTATATCCCTTGCACGCACACATATGCATACACACATATACTTGTACATAGATGGATGTATATATACATATAAATAAATGCACACATAACAATATATACAGATTGTTTATATGACGTCTCTTGATACTTCGAGGGCTTTAAATGGAGAGATTACCACATATGACCTTTAAGCCAGATGTTAATAATAGCTGACATTTATATAATTCTTTAAGAATTTCAAAATACTTTCCATGAATTATATCATTTGATTTTCACAGAAATCTTGTGAAAGTATTATTATTATCCTATAGATGGGGAAATGGAGTATTAGAGAAATAAAATGATTTGACCAGGCTCTCATAACAAGTAAATACCTAAGACAAGATTAGAATTCAAGTCTTCCTGAGTCCAAAGCCAACATTTTATTCACTATGCAACCTAGATACAATAAAGAACAGCAGCTACAAAATAGAAGAAAATATTATGGAAAGGCCCAGTAATTTACAGAAGGCAACATCCAAAAGGAAAGACAGTTGTAAATACCCATGACCTCAGATGTCAACAAAGACAGAGCAAACTGGACATCTAAGTTTAAGAAGATAAAAGCCTAACCTTATAAATATACCTAAAATTTGGTAGGCTGGAATATGGCAATAGAGGAGGTATGCTTATGCCAAAGGCACTTATAAACTGAAAAAAAAGTGAAGAAATGCAGATTTCTGATATATATATATATATATATATGTATATATATATATATATATTTTTTTTTTTAAATATAAATTTATTTATTTGTAGTTTTCAACATTCATTTCCACAAGTTTTTGAGTTCCAAATTTTTAACCCATCCCACCCTCCCCCCACCCCAAGATGGCATGCATTCTGAATATCCCTTCCCCTAGTCTGTCCTCTTTTTCTTCTCTCCCCCTTCTCTTATCCCTTCCCTTCTATTTTCCTGTAGGGCAGGATAGACTTCTGTACCCCATTTCCTGTATTTCTTATTTCCCATAGCATGTGAAAACTTTTTTTTTAAGCATATGTTTTTAAAACTTTAGGTTTCAAATTTTCTCTCTTTCTCCCTCCCCACCCACCCTCATTGAAAAGGCAAGCAACTCAATATAGGTTGTACATGTGCAGTTATGCAAAACACTTCCATAGCACACACGTTGTAAAAAACTAACTCTATTTCCCTTAATCCTATTCTGCCCTCCCATTTATTCTATTCTTTCTTTTGACCCTGTCCTCCTCAGAAGTATTTACTTCTGATTACCCCTTTCCCAATCTGCCCTCCTCTCTATCATCCCCCTGCTCTCTTGTCCCCTTCTCCCCCTATTTTCCTGTAGGGTAAGACAGATTTCCATACCCAATTGAATGTGTATGTTATTCCTCCTTAAGCCAAATCCTATGAGAATAAGATTACTCATTCCCTCTCACCTTCCCCTGCAAGAGACTTTTCTTTTCTGTTTTTTTCTTTGTGAGATAATTTACCCCATTCTACCTCTCCCTTTCTTCTTCTCGAGTATAATCCTCCTCATCCCTTAATTTTATTCTCCAGATATGACCCCTTAATCTTCAACTCACCCTGTGCCCTCTATCTATCTACATACATATAATATTTTTCCTCCAACTACCCTAATACTGACAAAGGTCTCATGAGTTAAAAATATCATCTTTCTATGCAGGAATGTAAACAGTTCAATCTTAATAAGTCTCTTATGATTTCTCTTTCCTGTTTACCTCTTCATGTTCCACTGGAGTCCTGTATTTGAAAGTCAAATTTTCTATTCAGCTCTGGTCTTTTCATCAGGAATGCTTGAAAGTCCTCTATTTCACTGAATGACCATTTTTTCCCCTGAAGGATTATACTCAGTTTTGCTGGGTAGGTGATTCTTGGTTGTAATCCTATCTCCTTTGCCCTCCGGAATATTATATTCCATGCCCTGCGGTCCTTTAATGTAGAAGCTGCTAAATCTTGTGTTATCCTGATTGTGTTTCCACAGTACTTGAATTGTTTCCTTCTGGCAGCTTGTAATATTTTCTCCTTGACCTGGGAACTCTGGAATTTGGCTATATATTCCTAGGAGTTTTCCTTTGGGGATCTCTTTCAGGAGGAGATCTGTGGATTCTTTCAATTTCTATTTTGCCCTCTGGTTCTATATATCAGGGCAGTTTTCCTTGATAATTTCTTGAAAGATGATGTCTAGGCTTTTTTTTGATCATGGCTTTCAGATAGTCCAATAATTTTTAAATTCTCTCTCCTGGATCTATTTTCCAGGTCAGTTGTTTTTCCAATGAGATATTTCACATTTTTTTTTTTTTCATTCTTTTGGATTTGTTTTACAGTGTCTTGATTTCTCATAAAGTCACTAGCTTCCAATTGCTCTATTCTAATTTTTAAGGAAGTATTTTCTTCAGTAATCTTTTGGACTTCCTTTTCCATTTGGCCAATTTTTCTTTTTAGGGCATTTTTCTCCTCATTGGCTTTTTGGACCTCTTTTGCCATTTGGGTTAGGCTATTTTTTAAGGTGTTATTTCTTCAGTATTTTTTGGGTCTCCTTTAGCAAGCTGTTGACTTGTTTTTCATGATTTTCTTGCATCACTCTCATTTCTCTTCCCAGTTTTTCCTCTACTTCCCTTACTTGCTTCTCAAATCCCTTTTGAGCTCTTCCAAGGCCTGGGACTGATTCATATTTTTCTTGGAGGCTTTGGATGTAGGAGCTTTGACTTTGTTGTCTTCTTCTGGTTGTATATTTTGATCTTCTTTTCACCAAAGTAAGATAATATAGTCTGACTCTTTTTGTGCTGCTTGCTCATGATCCAGCCAATTACTTGAGTATTAAACTCTTTGTTAAGGTAAGAGTCTGCTTCCAATGTGGAGAATGTACTGTCCCAAGCTTCAGGGGTTTGTACAGCTGTTTTCAGAGATACTTGTAGGGACCTGTAAATTTTCAGTTCTTCCAAGGTGGTATGATAAGGGGTGAGGTGTTTACTCCTTTCCTGGCCTGTGACCACAAGTATTCCTTTCTGTCCTGTAACTGTGAGAGGGGTTCCTCTCCACAGCCACTACAAGCTCCACCACACCAGCGTTCCTCCTCACCCCCCAGCACTGCCACCCAGAACCGTGACCCAAATCCAAACACGGGCAAAGCAAGAGATTCCTGCTTCAGCACTGGCAAAGAGATCCCTGCAATCCCTGTCTGATCAGCCACTGGATTCCCCCTCAGTCTGTGGGCCGGAAGCTCAGGAAGCAGCTGCCCCCCCCCCAGGCCTCTTGGGGAATGGAGCTGAAACCCCACCTTCCTTTCTCAGCACCACAGAAACAGACTTTTCCCACTGACCTTCTAAGTTGTCTTTGGCATTTGTGGGTTGAGGAGTCTGGAAACCTCCACAGCTGCCCACAATTCAGTCCTCTGAGGCCTGCTTCAGGTTGACTGAGGCCTGCGCACACACGCTGTGCTGCGCTCCCAGCCCTGCGTGATACACCTTTTTGATCAATCATCCAGGTTGTCTTGGGCTGGAAATTTGTTTCACTCTGTCTTTTTGTGGGTTCTGCTGCTTCAGAATTTGTTTAGAGCCATTTTTTATGAGTATTTGGAGGAGTTTGGGGGAGAGCTCAAGCAAGTTACTACTTTTACTCTACCACCTTGGCTCCGCCCCCTAGAAAATATTCTAATAGTCTGAAAATCAACCAGATGTTAGCTAACCAATCATTAAGAACATATCACAGAAGATACACTGTTCAATTACAGGTTGTCCTAGAGGACCTTTGAAATCCTATTTGAAAAGGCAGAGA